CGAAAATGAAGGCAGTGGTGGCCGCGCACTAGGCTCTCTGTGACCTGAAGGATGTCGTGTATGACCTCCACGACTCCCACTTATGGGGCGAGACTGTGCTGGGCTATGTGAGATACGCGAGGTAGTGGTCGTGTCCCTCGCAAATGTAGACGTCACCACCCTCTCCTCCACCATGTTAAGCTCAATCTTCTCAGAAAGAGCAAACACATGGGCTAATGTGGGTGATGAGTCGCTCATGAGTGTAGCATCACGCACTCTCCTCCGCAACTCTCTGTCAAGGATCCGATACCAGTACTGGACAGCCTGTGCCTCAGTCACACCGTGAGTAACTGAGATGAGCCGTCGCATACGAGTGTATGCCTCACGAAGACTCTCACCAGTCTTCCGCTCAAACTCCTGGAGGCTCCTCAACTTCTCCGTTTTCACCCCCTGATAATTCTTCCTCAATCTCTGGAAGAACTCAGGAATGGGGCTAAACGAAGGTACGCCACTAGCATCTCCCCTCGTGCTGCCACCGGCAATGCTAACAGTACCGCTGCTGGTACTAGTACCAGTTGCGCCAACTGCTCCACTGGTACCCTCGCTGATGCTACTACTCGCACCTCCACTGCTGCCGATACTCGCAGCTCCACTGGTACCCACACCACCCTGGGTAATGGATGAGTAGTTCGGAGACCAATGCCGTCTCCATGCATCAATCTCTGCAGCATACTCTCTCCCAAACTCATGATAATCGTCCATGGGAGGCCCCTCCAAATGCTGGAATAACCCCTTCCATGCAAAGAAGGGTGTAAACAACGTAGGGTTACGCAGAAACTGCATATCACACCACGTGTCGAACTCCTGAATAAAATCATCAAGCTCGATGGTGCCCACTGCACCAGAGTAACGTCGAGGGCCCTTCGCGGCCCCGTACATCCCGTCCATGTCCCAAATCAATGGGGTGGGAACACTAGACGATATCACCACCAAAGACTCTGTGTCTGCAACACTCTGGTCCTGCTCCGCAACAACTGGCGAAATAGGTGAAGGTAGCCGATACCTCAACCCACTCCGCGTAAATCCCCCGCGGTCCTTAACAGGACCACTAGACTGCTCCGTGATGACGAGACCTCAACTGGCACCACTGCCAGATCTCCACCCAATAACCCAATCCGCCCCTGACGTCGTGCTGCACTGAGCCACTCTAGCCCTACTAGCTAAGGGGTATGGGCAACCTAACCTGTCATCACAGCAAGAAGACTCTCACGGTCTACTGGTCATCAGTCCAGTTTCACCGTGAGAGAAACATAGATAGACCGGCCGGTGATCAAGTCCAGCCCCCTATCGCCAGCACACAGGAGTACAACTACTCCGGAAATCAACGTCACCCCTACACGGGCGCGCACCAGGAAGCAAGACTGGAGAGGATCCAAACACAAGCAACCAGCTAGCAACGACTCTCCAGTCTAAAGGAAACACAGCACAAAACAAGACAACACACACGGGACATCGCATCGCTTCGCGATCCCGATTCGATCTCCATCGCCCTCTTATTACCAGCAACTTAACACGTACAAATGGTAGCTTGTCTGCTAGCTTCTCCTTGCTCTCACTTTCCCAACAATAGGTCGGTCACGAATCCATCATCGATTGGACCTTGAAAAAAAAAAAAAACATCTCCACGTCGAGCAGTGAAACTACTCTATTCTTCAACTAGTAGGCTATCAGACTATGTTTTCATAAGGAAATCACTAGCAAAGATTTTAAGTACGCTAACCTGCTAATCATCAAAAATCATAACTCTTTGTCATCAGGTTGTATATGAAAACTAAAGATGCAATACTACCTATAGGACCTTCCAACTACAAGTGAGACTAGATGCAAACTCTAGTCTCTTCAGATGAACTTCACTAATAAACCTTCCACTTTCCTATCTCAATTTTTTTTTTATTTTTTTTTATTTTTTTATATATATATATATATATATTTTTCACAACCGGAAATGTTGTGCTTGGACAAGCACATCAACTCGATTTCAGGCCTATTCTCTTGCACACGTTAATAATTGAGATCAGTATACAGTATTTCTCAGTATACAATAAGAAGGTATAGATCTCTATCTATACATTCTTTGCTTTGAAAACTAGAATGTGTGCACAGAAAACACATAACTGAAAACCACCTATTACTAAGGTGTGCACAGAACTTCACTTCCGTGTATCTATAATGTGAAAGAGTCACTAGGGCCATTAACTCTCCGCATTGTGGCCCTCACCTTCCAACCCGTCCACTCTCCTTGATCTTAACTCAAGTTTCTGGTCTCGTATTGTTACTCGTAGTTTGTGTCACACTATTGAGCACGCCAGATCTGTAATGAACTCTTGCTGACAGTTCATATCTTCTATCCCAGGTCATTCTCGGTCGAAATGTGAGATCATGGCGATGGTTTCAGTTTAAGCTGTTGCTCACAGCAAAGTTTCTATAGTTTTACAATGAAACTGTTGCAATCCATGTCATAGAAAATCTACACCTCAGTTCATTGGGGTTTTAGTACTATCACTAGTACTATGCATGATTTTCTCATACTCAAGGCATAACAATGGTCCATCTTTGAACTTGGTTGATAACAAACACCGCCAAATTGACTTGCAGAAGCTGCGAGCTACCCTGACTGAAGTATCACGGAGTTATAATATCTGCTAGCTTGAGTCAAGCTTCTAGCACGATTTCAGAAGCTTTGGTAATAATGACAACTCGAACATTGAGTAAGGCTTACTCAGAAAATTTCTCCTATTCTACAACCTTAGCTTGAGCTCTCAGCTCTAGCTGTTATAATTGAGACTTGATTCTTCCATCAGGCGCTAATAACTCCTTGGCATTGAAGAAAGCGGAATGTCCTAGGTAGTTAGGAATGCAGTGTGTGTGTGAGAAGGTTGAAGCTATAGGTTAACTCTTGTATCTAAATACGAATCACTCAGAGGACGTAGATTCAGACCTAGTCTCGAGCTGAATCTCAATCCCTGTCAGTTATGAGCCCTTCAGCAATCATATGTGACAGTGTATATGTGTTAGGCCCAAGTTCATATGTGGTGTACTAAGGCAATTGTCTCCTTCCATGCATATCCGAACTAACCATGTACAAATCACGATCATCACGTATAATAGAACCGTTATAGCTAAACTCATACTGAAAAGAACTTGCACCTTTCCACGTGAGGTATCACTCCAATCCTTGATGCCCTCTGACCAGCAACTGCAGCATCAGTATCGACAGCCCATCCATCTCCCGAAACTATCCAGTCTCCAGCTACCAAGCCTTTCTCAACGTCGTTCTGACTCTTGGCTAGCAAAAGGACAGGGAGCTCTACGCTTTCAGCACGTCCGCAGCACGGTCATATGCCAGCATTCGGAAGTCAACGTCGGGGCTGCTTCCAGCTTGCGAGCTACACACCGCAGCTAGCTCACTCAAGTCCACGTCGACCTTTCCTGCTGTCGTCGGCCTCGGGCCCAGCCTCGAGCCGTAATTCTTCGGCAACTCGGTCGGCAATTTCAGGGGCCAAATTTCATGCCCGTGGTCCTGCAACTTTCACCGCAGCTTTCTCTCGAGCGGGAGCGAAGCGCTCATTGTGTTGCCATTCTGTACCTTCTTCCCCTCGATCGACACCTTCTCATCCGAAATTCCTCCCGCGCTCACTTCAGCTACAGCTCGACCAGCTCGAATGCAGTGCGGTGCTCATGGTCCGATCTCCGGCGAAGAAAACTCGCAGCAGCGCTGAATGTCAAACCCAGCAGTTCATAAAGGCGCTCGAGATTGCCAGAAGAGCAGAAGAACAGAAGAAGCCCGAGAGTCAAGGATCAGTCGTCGTCGCTTGCAGTCTCGTCGCTCTCTCGCTCTCTCGCTCGATGTGCTGGGGCTCGATCTGTTGCTGGCGACTAGCAGAAGTCCGCGCTTGGTTGATAGGTTAAGGACCTCTGCAGAGGATCTGGGCAACTGTCTCCCGAGACAATCGACACTCTCTTCGCTTGCAATAACGACTGTCGAACCACGATTGATGCAAACCGAAAAGTAAAACTCTCAAACCCGACCGATTTGAAGAACCAAATCTCGAACGAACTTCGATCAAAAAACAAAGAACCAATCGACCTGCCACTCCTCAAAGGATCTCATGCACCGCAACCACAACCAAGGCAGCACTAACACCGATAGCGAAACCTGTAAAACAAATTGTGAAGAATTCCGCTACTCAGAACCTACGTCAGTTCTTCGAGTGAAATAAACGGGAGATTCCCCACTGGAATTCCCGTCGGTCAATTACCCTACTGGCAACAAACCGTCACCGTCACAAACATGAGTCAAGCCCAACCCACTCCACACTCGGAGAATCCAGGTCGACGCAAAGGGGAAAGTCACTCTACGCTCCCAACGCTTCCAGGCTCGACTCGAAGAACTAACGTTCTTCGAGCCGTCCACGACTCTATACCCCTCCTGGCCGGAACCCTAACTTTACGGCTAAATATAGTAAGTGTCTGAACTTCGTGAGCCGACTCGTAACTACATGACATCTTACATGGTGCCGTAGTCGAAGGAAAACTTCCAGAACGAAACATTCACAGGACAAGACAGTCGGACCTCACACGTCTAGAGCATTCCCGCGCCCTGGTCCCAGTCTAGATTCCTCGCGAACCAAGATTCAAACGATGTGCAGGACGGCTGCACTGCCCGCCCACGGGCAGCCACAACCTTAATCGAGCGAACTCTTCAGACCTGTTCGGACTGTGAGACTTTGACTTGGTGGACTCACGTGGCTTGTTGCAAATACTCTCACGTCCGGCAGGGAAAAATACGTGGTAAGCTAAAAACACGTACCCGGTAGGTAAAGAGAAACACAGAACCGGTCATAACAGGTCATTCCACACAGATTGCCGTTGTCAAGGATGAACCAATAATTTCTCTCTCAGTGGGGCGTTGTCTACGCCACTGACCGCTGCTCTGCCCGCCGGTCGTCCGCTCCCTGGTCCCGGTCCCGGCCTGGCTTGTGCTTGATTTGCTTCAGGCGCTTTCTCAGAGTCGGAGCGCAAAGCATCGTGGGGCGCCAAAGTCGGCGGAGAACATTGCTCGAGCGATCGCATCGAACAGGAAATCGGCGCGATACAGAAGCAGGCAGCAACAGAATTGTGGCGGGCGTAGCATTAAACCTGCCTTTGGCCGTTGCTCGGATTTGCCCCTCTGGTGAGTTGCTCGTTTTCTTTAGAGGTTGCCCGTGGAACGTCGGATGCCTGCTTATGATGATGTGAAGGATTTTGCTACTTGTTACGGGGACGATTGATCTTATTCAAGATGAAGATGATGAAGGCGGAGGTTTTTTTGCCCAGTTTTTGAGAGGCAGGTATTAGCAGTATACACGATTGTAGCGATTGCCGTGATTTTGTACATGCGCGTGAAGAGTGGAGAACTATTCTTCCTCACCCGACGATGAGGAATCTTTTTATAAAGTCGTTTGAGCCAATTTCTGTGCCGTCGTAGATTGGATCTAGCTGAATTTGGGGTCCCGGCCTTCGCCCTGGAATTTGGCGAATCCTTGCAATTTTATTCGTAGGAAGGCCGTAGCATCATGTCGCTGACAATTTTGTTGCTTAGGCGCGGAAGATGTGGTTTGTGTTTAGGAGCTTGTCTTGATTGATAAGGCTTCCATTTTTTGCACTGTCTATGTAAGGATTGCCATCATATGTTGGCAAGGCCTTACTTTCCTGGATATCGATTCTCGAAAGTTTAATCTCTGTGCATCGGTCTGTGAGTAGTAATTACATTGTTCCAACACGTTGTATAGATAAAATATGAAGCATAGCTTAGACCAATTACAGGGGCATTCGCACGCCCAGGGAATCCTCCGTGCTGTGTGTGTCTGTGTACGAGAGAGAGTGAGTCAGCGTGTACCCTTTTGTTTGCAATTTCAAGCCGATATGAGTGTCATAACCTTGTTGCTTCGCAGAGGGTCTGAGGAGCCGAGAAATTGGTGAAGGATGGCGTCTGCTCAAGACATATCAGGGGAGGAAATCAGCGCACCTCTTATGGGTTCAAAGGAAGAGGACATCGAGCTGTCAGCAGGTGCTGAGGAGACAGAGGAGGACAGCAGTACTGGTTTGGAGGGAGCGCCTAAGAATCTACCTGTAGGCGAAGAGGAAGTACGGAACAAGGAGCAGGGAAGTAGTTCGTCATCAGATGATGAGGAACCCTCGAAAAGCAAACACACAGAGTTCATGGGAAGAGATGACCAATTCCCCCCTAAAGTGACCTCGGAGGTCGAGGAACTGGCAGAAGGAGTCACGAAACAGATCATAACAGCTGGAAGAGGGGAGAAAACTCCCTCCAGACATTCCACTTGTTTCTGTAAGAATCCTCTTGTAAACTGGTCATTATCCACTTTCGCCGTTTCTTAAGTTTATCTGTTATGCCTGTGCACTGTGCGGAGTAGCTTACGCTTGAAGATTTCTTACGAATTGTTTGCTCATTCCGTTTAGGTTTTGAGACAGAATGTCGTTCGATTTGCAGTGCACTACAGAGCTTGGGCTGAGAGCACTATGCACAAGTTTGAGGATACCTGGCAAGAAGGGGCACCTTTTGAGCTAATCCTTGGACACGGTATCTCTTCTAAATTGCGTAGCTCTTCCATTTTAGTTCATTTATTTCTTACGAATATTGTTTCTTCATAAAATTTTACCATCTTCTGTATGAGGTACCAAAGTTGATTGTCTGTCATACTATCGCATAGGTAAAGAGATGGATGTTCTTGGAAATTTACAAGTCTCCTGTGAGAGGATAATAGTATCACCTATCTTGTTAGGCACCTCACTTGTAGAAATGTGGTGCCATAAAATGTCCTGGTGAAACTGAGACATGTGACCGTGGACGTGGGATGACGAAGCAATACGTTGTCTTCTATCCTGCATTTACTTGAGAGTGAGTTCTGAGAAGACTCTATGTGGAAATACCCAGTAAACGAAATGTTGAGAAAGGGCACAAGCAGGGTAATGGGATTACTACGTTCCTACGGTGTTCGGATAGAACATCGGAAGGAATCTGCAGGTGTCCTTCAGACTACTCGACAGTCATGTTGAACTCCTCTTACAATGATATGCGCTCCCACACGAACAGCGGGAGTTGGAGTATCAATAGAACCGGGATTCGTAAACTCTTCTGAATGCTCTATGGGCTCGGTAAGGGCAAGGGAAACCTGCTAAACCTTGGTTGAAGGGCGAGACGTTGCGATGGCAACGAAATTGTTCTTGGGTTTAGATAGATGACAATATGAGCAGGCCCTATAAAACTTTAGTGACAGCTGAAAGTACTGGTCTCATACAAAATTTGGACCCAGAGGAAACAAAGCAGACGTCATATTTTTCCTTCCTAACACGATGGACCTCGAACCCGTCATATTCGAGTACTATCTCCAGGGAATTCCATGTTTGGGGTGGGCCTAGAGTTCAAGTTTGGAACGGGATCGTCCTTCTCGATCTGTAGAGGAACTATGTGGGCAGCGTTTCGCAGCTTGCACACTGTGTAGCAAGGAGATGAAACTTCTGTTCTTTTTTGACGAAGAGCAGCGGGAAGTGTGGTATCGAAACTTTATTAAGTAGCCTTGATCGTAGGCCTAAAGCAGCCGCATTTTGGATTCACTGCACGCTTTAAAATCAGGTGGTCGAGCTAGTGGAGCCATTTTTTGGCTGGATACTGAAAATCCGAAGAGATCTTCAGTAGTTTCATTTGCACTATGAGAGATCCTTGTCACTCTTAAGTCGTGCTCTCTCTTTCTCTTCCTACTTTCATCCGGGTTTTCTCTAAACATTCAATTTCTTCACACCAGAACCGCCCAGCTAGTGCATGTGGTCTTTCCTCTTCTTTCTATTACAGGCACGTACTGATTAGTGTATGAGATGATTAGATGAGTGAGAATTCTTTTAGTCAATCCAGTTCCTCTCGTGATACCCAACATACTGTGGGGACTACGGTATGTCTATTAAGATGGAATCTTACTAGCATGATGCTTACACGATAAGTTTTACTTCTCCAGAAAAAAAGGTTCTGCGAGGACTTGCGATTGCCGTGGCAAGCATGAGAACCGGAGAAACTGCTCTTTATCGTGTTGGATACAAACTGGGATATGGAGACGAGGGCAATTTTTCCTTCCCTAATGTACCACCCAAGGCTAATTTGATATACGAAGTGGCACTGGTTGGATTCGAGGAAGCCAAAGAAGTAAGTGGAATTTGTGATTTTAATCTCACTAGATTGTTATTTGCTGTTTGAGTATATAGCTGACTGAGGTGTAGTTGCATCTGTTACCTAGACGTTTTATTTCACTGAGGTCCACGTGGAACTTGTTCCCCGTAAAGACACTAGAAAATCTTTTGGTTCATCAAAGTTTTGGGAGAGTCAGTATAGAATAATGTGTGGATATTCTAACAAGTTCTTCTTTCATTCATTTCAGGGCAGGCCTCGTGGAGAGATGATGGTAGAAGAGCGAATTGAGGCTGCAGATCGTAGACGAGTGGATGGTAACGAATTTTTCAAAGAAAACAAGTTTGAAGAAGCGATCCAACAGTATGAAATGGTCAGAGTCCTGATTTGCCTCATATGTAGAAAGCTTCAGGGTCTGATGAAGAGAGTTAGGGTAATGACGATATAATCTTTTCTCGCTGTTGTTATGTCGTTACGGGATGATGGGCAATGTTTAGTCGTCTCTCAACGGGATGAAGTCTTCTTTCTTACCACATATAATCTGTCTTTCCCTTTTCGCTAAAATTCGGAGGAAGCCATCTTAAACCATTCCCCAATTTAGTTGTCTCGATATTTAATTAAATATCTGCTATTCACGGAAGTATTGAAGTAAGACCACTTCCCTGGGCGATCCTTAGGTGAATATCGTCGTAAAACCAGGACGCTCCTGACACCAAGCATATTAAGAACCCAATTAGTTGTGACAAGCATAATGTTTTAGTATATAAGTAGAGAGATTTATGAACATCGTCGCCTCTCTGGTGACACACATCATTCCATGAGGTTGTCCCCCTGAGCCACATCTAGTCGTTCAGACACGTAGATAGTCGATAATGTGTTATGGTGGTTACTTCAACCTCCTGTCGTATGGCCTTGTTACCGTGATTTATTGAACTTTGGAAGGAAGGGAAACTTCACCCTCTATATTCAAGTTTTCTTCACATGCTTATTGTGATTGTTTTCTCAGGCTCTTGCGTATATGGGAGATGATTTCATGTTCCAGCTTTTCGGCAAGTACAAAGACATGGCCGATGCAGTGAAAACACCTTGCCATCTCAATATGGCAGCGAGCCTTCTGAAGTTGGAGCGCTACGAGGAAGCGATTGGTCACTGCACTATTGTAAGTGTCAGTTAGTAAAAAATAAATTCGAATATGGATGGTGAATAAATTTTGTGTAAAAAGAACCGCACTGTCTTTGTCTAATTAGACTTTATTTTATTGCTTCTTAGTAATCTTCTATGATTTCTGTCCATGGTTTGTACTCTTCCTTCTTTTACATTAAGTTTCTTGCCTTTCTCGCTTAGATTTCTAATTTCGTAGTTATGCTTGAGCCAGTTCTGCCGTTTTGCTCTCATTTTTGCATATTGCATTTGCTAGCCTTGAATGTCTGCAGGTTCTACTATGTTACTATCCTCGCTGACATTTCTTTCTCATTTAAATTAGAGAGAAATACTCTAACAGGAATTTCGCTGCTGAGATCTGTTGGGTTTTTATACAACCTGTAATCCATCTGTATCAAGATATGTACATATTATGGTTCTCGACAATTTTTAAACAGGTTTTTGACATTGCAGGCAGTAACACTGCACTTGTCTTACGTCGACAATGTCTCGTTTTATTTCAATTCTCATTACAACATTTCCAAATTGCACTTAATAGTGATCACTGCAGCATGGATCACATTCATGACCTATCTTCCTCTTTGTTCCTATAAGAAAGAAGAGCAATGCAAGAAGGCTAGACACAGGAATTGAGTTCATCGTTAGAGTTGTAATAACACAGGTACCGGATCAGAGGTTAAATCCCCAATCCGAGTTGACAAGGGATGTGTCCTTCCAAAGGGACACAATCCCTACAGTGAGTCACACCCACTGAACATCTCAGTCCACTAACTGCACTAGTGCGCACAGACAGGAAGTAGAGAGTATAACTGTATTCTAACACTCCCACTTACTACCTACTTACTTCTTTCTTCCTCATTTCCAACTAACAAACCCAAATTCTGACTATGACACCAATGCCTCTCTCTAGCTAATGGTTTCGTCATAATATCTGCAACCATATCTTTGGTTGGAAGAGAAACCAACTTCATTAAGTTATTTGCGACTAGGTCTCTGACAAAATGATATCTAATATCAATGTCTTTTGATCTTTCATGATTCTTCCGGTTTTCTATTTGTGCAATAGCACTTCGATTATCACAGAATATTTTTGTCGACTCCAGCTCAAAGCCCAAAGCCCAGATCATTCAATAATCCTCTTAACCACATAGCTTCAGCTCCAGCCTTGGACAATGCCATATACTCTCTTCTGTAGAAGAAAGTGCTACTGACTTTTGTTTCTTTGATGTCCAACTAATGGTTCCACCATCGAGTTAGAAAAGCAATATCCAGAAGTAGATCGTCTTGTGTCAAGGCAACCTCCCCAATCCGCATGAGAATATCCAATCAAACCGGATGGTTTATCAACACTTGTAAACTCAAGGCCAAAATCGAGAGTTCCTTTCATATATTTGAAAATCCTCTTAACTGCTTTCCAGTGTATCAATCCAGGATTTGACATGAATTGAGCCACTGAACTAACAGCAAAAAATATTATCGGGTCTAGTACAGACCATCACCCACATCAAGCTCCCAACAGCAGCTTGATATGGTATATCTTTTATCTCTTCACTTTCTCTCACTGAATTGGGAGAGTCAAGCACACTTAACTTCAAGACAATGATGGATCTTTTCTAAGTCCACCATATCGAACTCAGTTTGAAGTTTCTCCTTGACATTAGTAAGAAGATGCAAGGAATCACTCGCCAAAATACAGGCGTCCACATATAGTGCTAAATACACAAATGGATTCTCCTGAGAGTATATGTAAACATTCTGATCTGCATTAGCTCTGGTAAAAGCAATCTGCAGTAAGAACGAGTCAATTCTTTGATACCACTGTCGTGAGGATTGCTTCAGTCCATAAATGGACTTACTCAGTTTGCATACCATGTTTTTCTCAAAAGAGATATTCAACCCTTCATGAAGAGCCATGTACACTTCTCTATCTAATAGTCCGTTCAAAAATGCAGTTTTCACGTCCATTTGATGTAGCTCTATATTACTTTGAGCTGCTAGAGCCATTAGGGTGTTAATGGCTCTAACACCCTAATGGATGTCAACTTCACCACAGGAGAAAATGATTCTGAAAAGTCAACACCATAAACTTGAGAATATCCTGTAGCTACTAATCTGGCCTTGTATCGATCAACAGAACCGTCAGGCTTGTATTTGATTTTATAAATCCATTTACAGCCAACGACTTTCTTGCCCAAAGGTATCTGTCAATGTCCAGGTATGATTTGTCTCTAAAGAAGAAAATTCATTTTTCATAGCTTCTTTCCATTTGATAGAATCACCACTCTGTAAGGCGTCTTGAATAGTAGTAGGTTCTTTTTGAGTTTCATCATATAAAAATAAAGTTGCTTCTCCCTCTTTTCCAACAGTCGATCATATTTTTCGACACGTTTCCTTACTCTTTCCCCTCTTCGAAATATCTTTCGAAGGGAGATCGATGATGAGGGAAGAGGACGAAGTTGCCCCCGAAGCTGTATGGTCAGGAGGTTGGACAGCCGGGGCCTCAGATGTAGAGTCTTGAAGTCTGAGTTCACCCTGTAGTTGCTCGATGTTGCGAACCGTATCAACAAGAGGAGTAGAAAAGAGAGGATTCTCCCGTAGCTTCCATGTGCGCCTCTGGTAAGTCTGGCCAAAACGGCCGGATAAGTGGCAGGGACTTCAGCTGTGGGAGGGTGACTCACGAAGGGAGTGGAAGGTGCTGGTGGAACTCCCACTACAGGGGATGGTGTAACCGGACTGAAGGCTCTCACTGCTGGTGGCCGTCCTGGTGGTAATATTGGCGTAAGGGGAAACCTGCTAACTGGATCAGTAGATGAAGGGAACCTTTCGCCCTTTACGTTGGTAAAGGGCGAAAGGGAGTAAACCTTCTTGCTCAGCGGGCGGAACAACCGATGCCTGCTGATGGGGAAGGGTAGATTCCCGAACCGCAAGAGTCATAAATCTGACAGATTTGCTCTCAAGAATATTATCAGAGTCTTTTCGTTGTAACCGATATCCTTTGGTTGTCGGAAGAAGAAACAAAAATTTTTCTGCACATTCTACAGCAAATGTTCAACAGCGGTTGTAACAGCGCTATCATCCATCAGGATGGATCCTGGATGGTATGTGGAGTCTAGTACTACCCAACATGATGGATGATAGTGATAGTGCGGTGACATACAACCGCTGCTGAACTTCTGTTGTAGATATTTTGTTTCTTCTTCCGACACTCTTGAGCAAGATCGCCTCGTTTCTTAGAATAGAAGCATTTCTTCTTTTGCCTAGAAAAATGATGGTTTAGGAGGAGATTCTTATCTGGAAAAAGAATTTTTCTCAATGGATTTCCGTGCATCATCTTTGGCGTTGTGGTAGTCCACTCTCGATTCTTTGTTGTGTAGAGTGAGACAGTATGGCTCACTCTACACAACAAAGTGAACCATACTGTCGGTCAACTCTTCTTCTTTGAGGTGAGATTCCTCAAGAAGATTACTAGCAACAACGGATTGTGTGGTCAACGTGTGCTGTGACCCCATCAAACGCACAAAAGATCCCTATTCTATAGGAAGATTTCTTAGGAGAAGTGTAAGCTTTGCCTCTGGAATAGTCTGCCCTATAGATGCCAACTGATGGAAAAGTAGACAAAATTTGGTGATATGTTTCGCCATAGACTCTCCTGTTTTCAGTTTGAAAGTATGCAATGCATCTTTTAAGTGCATTTGCATCTGCATGTCATGGAATTCAAATGCTTTATTTAGTTTAGTCCACGCCTCTGCTGCATTAACATAGTCAGCTATCAATGGATGTTGATAATCTTCCAACGAGCTATTCAACATCGCCATCGTCTGAATCTCTACAGTGCTGGGATTCTGCAGATGTTGCAAGGAACCTTAACCTTACCGGAGAGAATGACACTTACATGGAATTTCATTACCGATGATTATTTACGAAATTAATGAAAAGCTGTCCACCCATGCAAGTTCTGATGGAAAGCTATTTTGCCCAAGGGGCAGATTAGGGCCACACCCGTTTTTGCTATGGTCACACCCGCTTTTGCGACGGCCACACCCGCCCGCTAACTACCATGCCCACACCCGCTACATACAAACAACTGATTGCGCGTCAAAGCACGCCTCCCCTCAAATCCAGTTGCTAAGCCGAGCTCGTCCGCGAGGCAGAGGAGAGCGTAGTCGAGAGGCTTCGAGGGGCGCGGGAAATAAAGTTTTTTCATTCCATTCCTTCTTAATTCCCGCTCCTGGTGTACTGGTTGTAGAACCAGGTGGAATGGTTGTCTGGAGCTCTTTACCTTCCATGACATAGATCAATCCTTCCACTCGAGGGATCCAACTTTATTTATTCTTCCAGTAATCGAAATGCCCTCCATTAAATTTGGGGAGATCTTTCTATGCAACTCGCATTGGAGCCCTTGAGAAGACATCTTCCAGGAATTTGATTGTTGAACTTTTCAACAAAGTTTCTTCAGTGATTTATGTGTTTTTCGCGTAGAACACTGACCCCAAGTCCTGAAATTTTGCAAAATTTGAAAATTCGCTGAAATTGCATGCATTTCATGAAATTTTGCTTGAAAATCCCGGAATCTTCAAAATGTCACTCGAAATTTTAAAAATTTCATCAATTTTGGGATAGAAAGTAGAAAATACCCTTGAAAATACCCTTGAAATTGCTGTGAAAGATAGCACAGAGAATGATTCAAAACAAAAAGCGTCCTTCATGCTTTTCCTAACTCAAGAGTCCTTGAATTAAAAAAAAACCAGTTTTGATACCATATTAGAAAGAAGAGCAATGCAAGAAGGCTAGACACAGGAATTGAGTTCAGAGGAAGGCTCATCATTAGAGTTGTAATAACACAGGTCCCGGATCAGGGGTTAAATCCCCAATCCGAGTTGACAAGGGATGTGTCCTTCCAAAGGGACACAACCTCTACCCTGTGTAACATTCACTGAACATCTCAGTCCTAACTAGAAGGACTAAAACTGCACTAGTGCGCACAGACAGGAAATAGGGAGTATAACTGTATTCTAACAGTTACTTCTCAGTTCCGTTCGCCTTCTACGCCTCTCATATGCACTTATACTCTTGCTAAGATTCGCTAGTTTTGGCACTACCTTGTGCTGATTTTCACGGTTCCTATCAAGGTTCAGTACTCTAGTAGTTAAGTGCGACATCCCTCTGGCTACATGAAGGCACAACTTTGGTATTCGCTTCTATGTCCCTTTAAATTTCAGCACCAGTTCCACATTATTCAGTTTCATCTTCTTATGCTCCAGGTTTTTCGTCACCTACCAGTTAATCATCAGCATTGAAACACTTCTAATATGTACATATTTAGTAGCATTTTCTCATCCTAAAGTGAACACACGTATAAGACACATTGTCGATCTCTTTGTGTCTACTACTCTTTTAATTCGTTCCTACAAACATGATTATTCCTGGATTTTACTCTTCTTGATCTTATTTCACAAAGTTACACAGCACAATGACGGACTACTTCCGAACTCGGAAAGTTCAATCACTCGCTGCTTATATATGTCGTATAAATATGATGTCCGGCATCGTGGTAGCGTACGTTGTGCAATTAGTCAGAGTTAACTGGTCTGCTTTAGAGAACAGTGATAGCACTAATTCAAGTCGCCAACCCTGTGGGTCTGCAGCTTCTACCTGGATTACTTTACTTACATGCCAGTCTCGTTTCTTCATGTTGTTATGAGATTGTACAAATATTTATTGTGCACGATTTCCAAACGTTCCTTCTTGCCTTATAGTTTGTGCGGAACTGACGTTGACACTTTGTCACCTTCACTTCCTTACAGTTGTAGTTTCTACACGTAGCTGGTCTGAACGATGAAATTAAAATTCACGAAGTCTTTACTCATACGAAAGGCTGTATCGTCCTAGCTCTGTTTGAATCGTTTCTCCAACGATTGTCCACAGGTTTGGTCTATGCTCACTTCATTACATCAATTTGTTTTGATTATACTACACGTGCATGTGCTACTTTATCGTCCTCGTTTGTAATGTCCACCTGTCCACCTCATTGTATTTGTAGTAGTATCAGGCTCAGTTCATCTCTTTTCATTCATGACTGAAAGTTGTTGTCCATTCGATACGTACGAGCTTGTCTTCAACAAATATCAGAATATTTGCTGTCTCTGCGAGGGACTATGAAAAAATCTAACAAATCATTTGTATGTAGGTACTCGGAGAGGACGCGAAGAACACCAAAGCTCTTTTTAGACGAGGAAAAGCTCGAGCAGCTCTTGGTCAAACGGATGCTGCGAAGGAGGACTTTCAGAAAGTGAGGAAGTTAGCTCCTGATGACAAGGCTGTAATGCGTGAGCTGCGCAGCATTGCAGAGCATGATCGCGAACTATATCTGAAACAGAAGGAGCTTTACAAAGGTTTATTCCCGCCTGCTCCGGAAGAAAAACCGAAGAAGAAGAACCCGTGGTATATGGACATATTGCAGTGGTTTGTCTCGATCTTCAGATTCGTGTTGGGTTTTGTCGGTCTCAATAAGCAGAAGAGGAATAAAGCGGACTAGCTACAGAGTTTTGATAGAAATCGAATTAGATGAATAATTTCGAGGCTGTCATATGCACAGCCTATACGTCTTTGATCCTCCTACAAACAGGACTTTCTCCTTGCTGGTACTTGGAGCTCAGTAGGCAGTGCACTAGGAATCGATAAATGTAGGTATAAGGGCGGACCTAGGAGGAAGATGCTTCTTCATAGTGGAACATCACCATATTGTAAATGAGAGAAAAGAGTCCAAACTCTGAGAATCTAGATTTGTTTTTCTGTAAAGTGTATTTTCTTGACCTCGTTTCCTGGATCCGAGTAAAAAAAAATGGCAATCTTTCTATCGTCTTTGGCTGTCATAGTACTCAAAGCAAGTTGTACGTGCTGTGAAACTAGTTCTGAGCGCTGACAGAAGCAATTTCGACACTCGTTACAGTTTTTGTGGAAGAAAGAAACTGTGAATTTAAGGAAATTAGTCTTCGCTCCCTCTCCGGTCCACCACCTAATCCGACAGCAAATAACAAGAAGTTTTTATAGTGAAGTTTCTTTGGGCACTGCTTGATTGAAGACTGATAGGTTAACGTTTCCTCGTCGTCTTGGCTGCGATAAGCCCCCTAAATAGAAGAAAACCTACTGGCCAAAACCTTCACTTTTGCTCGCCCCCTTTCAGCTGTAGCTGCGAGAAGCAGTAAATGGCGACGTTCAATATTCGCAGAGGAGGAAATGAACGAATATCGGGTACTGTATCAAATGTATGATACATCGACGCCAACTAGAAAGATAGAGAAAGGAAAAAATGTCACAACAGTTTTGAATTGTGAAGGAAGCGAAAGTTCTCAAATCGGACTGGGGGATTGATCGATTGTATGTAATGCACACACAATCAGTCTGCACGCATGTCTGGCTGAAGAAAAAGGAGTTCCTCGGCGGAAGGACGCATGTTGCACGGGAGAACATCAAGTACTGTGCAGAAGATCTGTCACGAAAGCATCTGGCTCTGAGATCCACAAGACTGCAACGTGAGTGGTCTCGTATGCTCGAATAGAAGTCAGAAATTAGGCACTGCGTTATGAGGACAATAGAACCAGGGCCAAGTGTGGTCTTCCCGTGCTACTATCATAATAGAGTACACCAGTAGAAACCATGACAACAACGACCAACTTCGCTTTTCAGCCCACTCCGTACCACAGTAGGCAGTAGAAGACCGTGGGTCATTATATCTTGTGATCTGAAAAAGATTGAGACCTCGCTCACTCACAATTGGTGACAGCAGAGTGCGCAATGCAAGGGCACCAATGAGCAACCACATGTTGGTGAGAGCGATATCTCCAAATCTGGTCCTAGAACGATTCTTAAAGCAATTTCTTATCGTTTCCTTTTCTATCCTCCTTGTTTCCACGGGCTAGCACGTACGTTTGTTTGCTGTAATTAATGAACATTCACGATTCCTGGCTACGTGTCAGGCACTGGGACGAACAAACTACACAGTCTACTATCTTCTGTACTGTGTGCACTGTCTCTTCTTGAGACTCATATCCTCTTACTCATACTACAGTATTCCATGTTACTCCGAAAGGAGCAGGAGACTGGAAAATCCCCGATTTTCGGAATCCCTTGCAGATGGTTTTTCCACTTCTACCTTTTCACGTATTAGCGTCTTGGCTTTTGAGGCTTCATCTTTCGAAGGATCCCAACAATAAATAATGTTTTGAGACGAAGTAGATTGCACAACCATCTTTTAGCAGATGGTGAAAATTGGAAAGGTTCCTTTCGGGCGAAAAGGGAACAGCAAGAACAAACACAAGCCGAAAGTCTCCTTTAGCTGGTTTTTAAGGTGAGTGAGTATTTGATCTGCAGTCAGTGTAGCTGCCTTGGCAGCTCAATGATAGTCGTGTATTGTGAGAAGTCTTATTGATTATTGAGAAATTTTAGCAGAATGGGTTTTATTTTGCCACTTGGATGATGAACGAAAATTTCTCATCTAAAGTAACGGAGAAACGTTCAATTTTATCACAAAAAGTTGGTAATATTTAAAATGTCTCATATAGAAGAACTATCTGTTATACTTTACAAAAGGCCTAGTCGATGGTATCCAAACAATTGGAGAAATTTAATATGTATATTCAAATATATTAAATTATATATACATTTACAGTTTTGTTTCTTCCGGGTATCATACAGATTGCCATACAAATGACAATTCTAATTGATCCAACAAGTTCCCATCTTCATGACAGACTCCGAGGTCTCAAAGGACCCAATCGTTCAATTTGCTAAACTGCCACCCTTGCAACTTGGCTAGTTATTGCTTAGGATATGCTAACATGCATGTTTCATTGTATGCAGGACAATTATAAATTGCCCTCATGTTTTTGCAGGTCTTTCACTCCAAGTTCCATGTATGACTCAAAGTTCATACACATAAACACAACTGAAACTAATAGAAAGTTGGGGTATGAGGATTAAAAGAACATTCGCTTAGTTCAATTCTGAACAGGAAAAGGATAAAGTTTCAGTACACGAAATGGTAGAACTTGTCTTCACTAGAAAAGGGAGAATTCAGTCGAGTTGCATGTGGAGCTTGCGCTACATTTGATATCAAATTTCGGCACACAGTCTAAAAAATTACGAAGTATATCAGCAATGAAATTCTTTCACATTTAAAAACAGACGTAATGGGTTCTCAAGTGTATGACTAATCATCAAGAGCGGGTCTTCCTCGATGTGTATATATGCAAATGAGCAACGTGCATGTGCGGGTGGCTCTTCGTACACCATTGACAGGACAATTATAAATGGATAGGTCGATTTAATGGCAAATTTGATGGGTATCTTAAGATAAGGAGAGAGCAAGCTTTTTAGATATTAGAATCTGCCGCAAATAAATTTGGGAACACACGTGGTGCTGATAAGAGGCTGAAGTCCTCTAGTAACTCAGATTGAAGGCAAAGCCCACAAGAATTTGTCTTTTTTGTAAAAACTGCTGTGCCGTAAACTTATGTCCAAGATCTCTCTGTCTGACTACGTTGGCGCATCAGTATATTGGGAACGTGTCATTGTCTCAGATAAACAACTCTTCATGTCAGATGACTGTCAGACTCGGCTCAACTTACCTCGAGGTTCCTTTATATCAGTAGGTATTAATATTGTCGCTTTCTGGACGAGGGAGAGGTAATCACCCTGCCATGATTTACCCCTGCTTGGTTCCTCAGGTGAAGTACGCGGGACCTCTTTCTTGTCGATAAGAATTCCAGAATCGGAGGTTTTCGATTCCATATTAAAGACAAAGCTGTGAGTTTGACACCGCCAATCTCAACAGGTTTGAAAACTGAGGTCTTCAACTTTCTGAAGCTTTTGGCATCGGTCTGTTTCAAAAGCAAATATTTTCAAACTTTTGAATTGAAAAAGAAATAAATTTCTTGCTATATTTTGGCCGAAATTTTATGAGATTTGGAAATTATCCGCAGCCAGAATTGCATCATAATCGGATAGCGAAGTTGGCAATCTCCACTTGGCAGCCATCGATATCCTTTTACTGAGAGTAAAGTCAAAGCGGAGGTCCTATTGGATCCGAGGGAGAAGAATCCTACCTGATTTCCTTTCTAATCAGGACACCTCCACCATTTGGGCGGTTGACTCTGTCTCTTATTTCGTAATGGAGACACTTGCATTTGCTTCAGGCTGCCATGCCAGATAAGATATCGTCACCGACTACGGTAAATCTGGAGACGATAATGGCCAGGAACGAAGAGTGGGGGGCAGTCCAGAGGCCGAGTAACTTTTATCTCTGAACCTCAGCCATGGGAACGAAGCTGTTGAAGCTGCTCTATAGCTCCTCGTATCAGATTAATGTATGGCTGTCATTTGTCCTCTTTAGTAATCGGGCTCTGTGGGTGGATTGGAGACCGCAGAAAGGCGGTCAGTACCAGAGTTAGGAATTTGTAAGGCAAATTACTTCTCTGGGAGTGAAGGTGTTGGAACTGCACTGGAATGAGAAAACGTATATATTCTTAATGAGTTGCTACCACGTTTTACGAAGTGATCTACTGGAAGGAAGTAAACCATTGAGTCTGCTGTCTACGTTCCACTTTGCCAATCGCTTACGACATGATTGTACGCACCCACAAAACCCGGTTCACATACTTGTTGTGACAGGACGTCAAGGAACCAACAATCATAGTTTTCGCAAGAATGATGAAAAACTCCCTTGGATTGTATTTCGATAGTTTGAATCAATACATACATTTGGAACCTGGTGATCTTTGTATACCTTGATTATCAAAATTGCTGATATATAATACTGGTTCAACCAGTTTTCCTTCTAAACCAGTGAGGGTTTTCGGTTGTTCATGTGCTGACTTCACATATATAATCAGCGTATCTAGTATGTAGACAAAAGTCCGAGGTTATGTTGTCCATTGAGGTGGTTCTACCTTGGGTCTACAAGCTCAAGGTATAAACTAAAATATTTTCTAGCGTTAATGAATAATTTACAATTCTGCACCGTAGTAGATTTCTCCTCTACTGTAGGCGTGTATGCCATATAATATATTCGTAGGTCTTTCAAATCCATTTAACCACTCATTGCAATGTATATCGGTCAATCTTGCAGCGTCTACTAGTTTTCTGCAAGGGTCAAAACAGAATGTCAAGAAACAAATAAAAAAATTTATTGTGAGAAGTATTATTGTGAAGACGTTTAAGAAAAAAGAGAGGCTTAATTAGTTGGTACTGTTGAAGTATGATCTGCTGCATGTGTTAGGACGTCTGTAAGCTACAAACTGTAAGCTATAAACTAATGACCAAAGTCCGCTATTATTCATCGCAATGGGCTCTTTACTGCCTACTTGTCAAAATAGTAATAATACGGTGTAGAAATATTTGGCTTGTGCAGTGCCAGAACGGTGACCTGGTCAATTGCAGCTGGCAGTGGTGCTCGAGTGGACACGAACATTAGGATAGAAAAGCAACATAGTCGACACTAAGATTGTCTTAGTAATGTGCGATAAGGTGATTCGGTAAGCATTTGAGAAATGGATGGATGTAGATCAGGAATGGAACTAAAGCAAATCGAGGTCGAGAACGGCAGGTCCGTTCATTAGATGAACGTCGAGGTTAAATTGAGGTTTCTGGAAGGCAAGGAGGAGGATGGACAAGAGGAGAATCGCTTTAAAACTCCTAAACTTAGGTTTCTGGAAGGCAAGGAGAAGGAGGGACAAGAGTAGAATCGCTTTAAAAACTCCTAGGTTACATAAAGGGGTAGAAGTTTGAACAAAGAAGAAGTAGCACAATTTAAGTCTAGAAAAATGATTTTGTATGGAGAAGAAAAGGCGGTTGATGTTAGTAAGCTTGTGGATTGTAGTAATGTTATCACCCACATGAGGCCGACAATAAGACTTTGTGGCACGAGTGGATTGGTGGCAGGCCTGGTTCCTTTAGCCAGGGTTGCAGGGTTCTCGATGACAAGTACCAGCGACTGTTGTGGACGTTTCAGAACCAATGGATTCACCTCTTTATCTGCCCCGTCATTAGCTGAGTTGGGAACCAGTCATTGGCTGCAGAGATCGATAGGAGAGCTACAGAGCGCTGAAAATACGGTGTTGATTCCAAAAGTGCTTCAGCCCATTCTATCTGTTAACTTTACTCACCGAACGGCGCTGGCATGAGTAAGAACGAAAATCTGGATTGTAAGCCAGTTGGAGAGAGAGAACCCAGAGATGAGACGATAGAGCTCAATGAGCTGTTCGGTTGGGTCGGATGGACGACGAGACGAGGGTGAACCCGGTGAAGACATACAAAACACAGATTAATTATGAAGGTGAAGGGGTCACGTGAGCAAGGAAAGTGGGTAGAAAGCACGTGAGGTGGATTGTATGAGCGCTGTGTGTGATGGAGAAGAGTTTCATACACTTATCTCCTCGTCTATCCTGTCCAACGAAGGAAACTAATGGGAGAATACACTTTGGGATATCTGGGTAGAATCACCGAAGAGTGTAAGACAACACACGACATCGCATTCGTCTGGGGTTTATGAAATAGTGAAGTGAAGGACGATGTCCTTTCCGATCCGCATCAGCTGACGCCTCCCAAAGCTGAAAGGAACTTCTGTGTCTATTTCCTGTCTGTCCTGCCGTCGAACGAGAACTGATACAGATTCTGCTTCTGTGTACTATGGGTTTGCCTACACCAAATCCTCCAGGTTCGAAATAAGCTTCAGTCGCAGGCAGCCCTGCTGGAAGAGGCTGATTCTCCGTGGAGGTATCAGCCAACTTGGATGCAGTCTGTGCAAGCCTATCTCACGGTAAGATTTATGAAAAAATTGTGCACGAGTGAGCCAGTATCTCTCAAAAGTAGCAAGGAGATGACAAACTCACACTATCTCTGTTTCTTCTACCGATCTCTTATTTCTCCACTATTTACTAAACCAGAATCTAGCGGACATAGTGTGTGGGTCGTCATCCCTGCTTGTGTTTGTACAACATTCCAGCACTTCACTTCAATGCCGGTAGATTGTCGAAGCACGCCAATATAAGATGTCGCACTGTCATCGGACGAGTGCATCCGAAACTTTCAAAATAGGGCGGTAATAACTTATTGCATCTCTGAAATCTGCATACTACAGTCCGTTCATTTGCTGTGTTCGTGAGAAATTTTAATGTGGAAAACATTCACCTTCTGATTGGGCACAGCTAACATGCCACCGGTTTGCAGATTCGAGCATGTTCTGTGTATGTGGTCAAACGTCTAGGTGTACAAGTGCTCTGGGAGGAAGTAGGTAGTTCTCTCTGTGTGGGCTGCACCACGTACAATATGGATTTCAATAACTGTAGGTTCAGCTCAGCTTGAAGACGATTTAGACCAAGATCACGTATTTTGGAAGGGGACGCTTGTTTCTGCAAGCTACTGTGTTACCTACAACCTTGTGAAATGTCTTGTTTAACGCACAGCCTACACCATGAAACGATTTTTTAGTATACATCTGGGTATTATTTATGCCTCTGGTCGATCGTTCAGACTTCTATCTGTTCATGAATTTCATGTTCATGACAGAATATTTACGTTGAAATTGAGGTACGAGATTGTGTCTCTCAACTGACTATGCCGGCATCAGAAGGGAATCTGGGTTGAACTAGCAGAAAAGTGTAAATTCCAACATCAGTTTCCGCATGTTTTCTTTTACTTAGATTATAATGAGCTCTTGATACTAGAGCAAGATGCGCTGTTCAATCGAGAGATTTGAGTCATTGAGTTTTGAAGACTGAAGACTGCCTGCCCTCTACATACAGAATTAAAATTTCTGGTTCATTGGGAATGATTTTTCGGTCTTGGACGTGACGTCGAAGGTAGTATAGCTTATCTCGCCTTCCCTCGACTACGGCATAGCATGTCAGATTTGGGGTTTGGTTTTGGTTTCGAAGAGGACTTTCTTGTCACCTTGAAACATGATGAATATCAAATTCGCAAAAGCGATTGGGTGACATGGTAGTCCTCAAATCGCTAGCAGAATCTGCGGGCCTCTTTTGCCGTTTGAGAGTACGTTACAGAGGAAATAGCACGGAATTGCGCACCAATACTCTGTTGTCGCGAACAAGCAATTTTTCGAATTTTCGGTAATATGGTTATTGGCTACGATAATATAATTGGTGTCTGACACCTAGACGTGAAGATGGAGTTTCTTACGAGATCAACTTTTACAATTCCTTGGGTTTAGCTGAAGTTAGTGAGAGATACATCCGGACGTGTCACTAGATTCGTTCATACGAGTCGTCAGTTTGTCTAAGGTTCGGTTCATTTTATTCCTAATGCGATTAGCCATTTTCATATTCCTGTTATCTGAACAGTATGATCTTTGTTCACGTGCAGTCAGCATGCATCACTGTTAATAATTAAGATATCGTTACTTTGACGACGTAAGGATAGCATTATGGCCGTTTTCGAGGGAGATCTCGCTCGAAGGACTATGATGGAAGCTCAGTTCTCTCCGAGAATAGTCGAAGGAGACTTACTAATTCTGAGAGATGTATGTTTAGGCTGTCGATAGGATCCAAGTTGGAGGTTTGAAACAAGTAGTGCAGACATTGGGTTCTGTCATTTAGTTTTATCTAAAAAGTGCCGAATAATGCTAATGAAATGTCACAAGCCTTGTCATTGTCCAGAGCTAGATAGAGAATGTCGTGGGTTGTTCCGATGGGAAGTACCCGGGCCGCTGAATTTTGAGAAACTCTTGAACGAGACAATCTCTCTAACGAACTACATGTGATGTGCAGGAGTAGGAATCTTGTCGATAGAAGGGCACTCTGGTATTGGAGCTGCCGGGAGTTATCGCGAAGACCAACTACCAGAATTGGTATTCCATCAGGAGAGTTCGTAGTCAGATGCTTGACATAATCCTGCGAAGTACTTCAGTGCTTGAGACTTCCAGAAACAGAAGATTTATGGACTATCACAAAACCTGCCCCGGAACTAGATGATCTGTATTATCTGACCACACCAGGATTTTAGTCTTCATCTATTGAGAGGAGCACCATTGCCCTTCACTCTGTGTTTACGGCTAAGTAAACGCTTGAACGTATAATGTCTCTCGCCGGACTAGGCGGGATGCCAAACTATGCGAAAACTGAACCAGTTGTATCAATGGATGATGAACCAAAAACTGTAGAAAAGAACTTAGCAACCTGCAAGGTTGAGGATATCAGTGTTTTGGAGAGTAAAGTAGGACATTCATCCTTCGGGAATGAAATAGATAGAACAGTGGAAGAAAAGAGGACAAGAATCTGCGTCGAGTCTAGAGGAGAAAGGAGGTTGCAAGTGAAGGTTGATGAAGGTGCAGCTTCTGGTGAGAGTGGACCAAGGAGCACTGGAGGAGGCCGAGAAAGATGTAGAGGTTGTGGAGTGAGAGAGGAACCGAGAAAGAATGAGCTCTGCGAGAGTTGTAAACAAGAGGGTTCCGGGAATTTCGAGGGGAAAGTCACAAGGTCAAGCACTCGAAGGCGACTGGGCGTCCAACCTGTCACACCACGTCTTGAAGAACCTCGTGCAGTGCGAGCCAATCGAGGAATGAAACGTCGTTTTCCTGGTATAATTCCCACCTCGAATGCTATTCACTCTCGTTCACTAGATTTGAGAATTATGATTAGTGAACGTTGCACGTCGAAAAGAATACGACTGTATTCTTGACCCCCTTGCATGCTCCATTTGTTCATTGTACACCTTTGACTAGTTTCTGCTATTCCTTTGACGAGCTCTATTGCCGCGGTTTAACTCATAGGAGGGACTGATCGTGAAGGTGCTGTTTCAGGGGACGAATCAGACGACAACTGCGACAAGCGGAAGCGAACTCGAGTTCGAAGCATATCCAAAGTTTGTGGACCCAACGCCCAGCAGCAGTCAGGCTCCGAAACATCTGGAAAAGGTATGTGAATCTTGCCACTAGCACTTGAAATTGATTTGTGCCAGTCGTTTGACGAACATGTGCACTTGTTGGTCAAACGTATCACATGGCTTGCAAGAGTAACTTCATCCAGTACCATGTGTAATTTCGGACCACGAAAAATCTCCTTCGAATGCTAGTATAACTGGCTGATCCACGACCCTACTTGGTGTAACCAGGTTCTGATTTTGCTCTTGAGCAACCAGAACCACCAATGGCCAACTTAGCCTCGTCAGCTCCTTTACAAGGCTTTAGAATCTGAAATGGATGAAGTTCACGGCATCCAGTAAATTTCATCCTCTTTGTCCAAAACGCTGAACATGTTCAGGTCTTTGTGGCAGGTAAGGAAGCTATTGATAAGGATTGGAAGCCGAGCGTGCGAGGAAAGCGACGGGGCCGACAGAGTAAGCCTCTTCCTGCGCACCCTTTCTGAATCTACGTTATGAAACCTCACAAAGCAAATCCTATCTCTCTTAGAGACACAAATGAGTTCTTCATACGCAGTTAGGGTACGATGTGTTTGATGTACACATAGCCGCCTACAGTTTGAGTTTTATCTTTACAGCAGCCTCAAGACGCAAGACTCTTGAAACTCAAAGTCAAGCCTTTCTAGTCGGGATCACTCTATTGGATGTTTCCAGATCGTGTTGAAGAGCTACACATGGTTTATAAGTAGTACACGAGTACAACAGAGCACCTAGAATTTACCAACATAACCCCGGGGTCCCAAAATTTGGTTTACTGGCCACGTTTCTCCAGACTGTTTTCAATGCGTCGTAGCCATTCGCATTACGGCATGTGTTAAAGTGGGCCTACTCCATTTGGGCCGTCATAAACGTTAAGAGGGGATTCATTTTTAGGCCTCACTCGAGCAAAGCTGGTTGGAAGACTTCAGTAGCTTGGGGACATTAGAGGTCACAGCTGAGCTGGTCATTTGGTTTTTTTGCGTGTTCTAAATGTACAGCTCTCTATAAGTAAGCTGATTGTCTAGCTCGCCCTTATAAACAATTATCATTTGTTGTTATTTTCCAGGTGAAGTCTTCCTATGCAACGTTGAAGGTTGCGAAAAGAGCTTTGTCGATGCTGTTGCGCTTTACAATCACGGTCGTGTGCACGGAGACAGGCCTTACGTATGCCATTGGGAAGGATGCACAAAGGTGTGCTTCATATCCCGAACAGTAGGAGAGTCTGGTAGCTTCATAGTTGAAGCATTTGATGGTTGCAGTAGTCCTCGATATGTGCAGCTGTGGCTACACATTCGTGAATTTACGTACGCAGTAGACAAGACTATGCTCAGTAAATGATTGATATTTTTTTCAGCATCATGATTGTAGACATCAATATTCTCAAGGGCGAGGTTATCAGGTCTCGTTTGTGCAAGGAAGAAGAAGAAAGGCCAATACTTCATTCTTTTTTATGCTATGTAGTGTGGTTTCTACAGCTCCTGGTCACTAAATCGGTCATTACTAAACGCACTCTGCAGAGGTTTTCGGAGAGATCAAAGCTAAAACGACACTTCCTCATTCACACAGGAGAAAAGCCCTTCATCTGCGTCTACGAAGGTTGTGGAAAGGTGAGTTCTTTTGTGGCCCTGCAACAGGCAAGTATTTGGACAGTCCACACACAAGGCTTGAAGAAGCGAACAAAGATATAATAAATCGTCAGCTTGCCAGCGCTCACTCAGGCGGTTTCTATGTTGTGGTCTATGTCGTGTTCTATGATAACAGTCTACGCAGGACGCGTATTCAGCTCTCTGCTGAAAAGGCGTTACCTTCCTTGTTTGTTATCCGAGATTCATCTGCCTCGACCGATATGTGCCGTTTGTAGCCTGCCTTACTTATGACGCTATGGTGTATACAATTGTTTCTGGTACTCTAACTTCTGACCTCGTCGTCTGATGATCGACAGGCTTTCTCTTTGGACTTTAACTTGCGGTCTCACATGAAGACACACACAGGAGAATACCATGAGTGTCCTCATCCCGGTTGCGAGAAAAGATACTGTCAGGAGTACAAACTGAGGGCGCATATCTGCAAGGAGCACAAGGGAGCAGGAAAATCAAGTGATAATGGAGGTCGCTTGGCGAAAGAGGACTCAGTGATCTCCTCCAATGATAAAGCCGCGAAGAAGAAAGAGAGAGCCGAACAGCTGGAATTACGGAGGGCCAAGCTGGAAAAGTGCAAAGAGGGAAAAAGGAAACGTATTCAGGAGCTTGAAGCAGAACTAGAAGGCGAGATGAAAGAGCTGACCAAACTGGATAAAGCACTTAGAAAAGTTACCCGAGAACAAGAAGAGGAGGAATTCGAAGGCTGTGTGGAGCAGGATTTATTATCAGATAATGCCGGGGAAGCTGAGCTGGGTGAGGTTTACGGGGAGGAGAAAGAAGTGGTAATGTTTGCTCATAAACTCCCTACAGCCGACCAAGGAGCCAGACTCATGAATCAGGTTGTGTTAATTCAGGGTCCTACTCCCCCACTGTCACCATCGATTTCATCGTCTCAACCTTTCTTAATGTCCCGCGTGTCTACTTTAGACAGCACTTCACCCACAGAAAGTGGCCTCCACTCTCATCATAGCACTCATCTACTCCCTTACAGCGTGACTCCCATTTGCCAGTTAAGTATGGACAGCTTGTTTGGAGATAGACGAAATTCACAAAATTTAGTATCGTTTGTGGGCTCCCAGGGTCTTTCAATGAGCAAAGATAGATTAGGTGATCCCCATGGAGGAGGGGTTTCACAAGCCTTTTCAGCCAACTGTCAATCTTCAATATCCTTCATTCATGGTGAACAAAGTTCGCAGTGCGAGCCACCTGTCTCGCAGCTTTTCACATATCAAGAGCAGCCATGTTTGCAAGATTAGGATCTAGAGGCCTTACCTATTTCGTGACTTTGTCACTGAACTTAGAATTTAGAAGTTAGAGTATTACTGTTGGAAAGGGGTAGGAAAGAGAGGCCTAAGAAATGTTCTCACAATCACCAGCGTGCCACTGAAGGATGGTGTCTCACGAAAGATTGTCTTTACTCCTCAGTTTGGAAGCGAAGGCGTCGCGGCCTACTACCTCACAATTATACGGGATACTGCTTGCCGAAGGCACGAGCATTTTCCTCGGGAACTGCGAGAAGCACCGTCCGGGTTCAAATGCCTATTATTGGCTCATAGTTGTGGTGTTTCACCACGTGTGTTGGGAATACATCAACTCCAGTTGGAGGTGTTGATAGAAATTCAATCTAGTAAAGATTTGAGTGACCACTCGCATCGGAACATTGTTCGCAAAGTACTGTCAGCGGGTCATATTTGGTTTCAAACAATGAAAAAGTCGAAGTGGTTAAATGCCGAATAGTTGGAAGTTATGGAAATTTTGACTGTGGTTCACACTTCCAGTAAGCAGAAACGTTTGGCTGAGATACATTGTAAGGCAATTGTCGCAGCTTAGCGCATTGCCAACTCAGCGGGTCTGACACACGCGAGACTCTATGAAGAAATTCGGGTAGATGAGAGTAGGGTCACACAAAGTTGACAAGAAATCTGAAGCACCCTCCACGAGCCAACCTTCAAATCGATAAATACCTGTGTTTACATGGCGTAAATCTGTCGATCCTAATTCTCGCACAATCGACCCGATATATCCAACCGCTCTAACGTAATCTCGTACCTGTCACACGGGGTCACAGGAGACGACTTGAATCGAGGAAATAACAATTGACATCGTTCATCGAGTTTTCCAAGCCCGAAAACTACAGCCTGCACGGAAATGAGTGAATTGTATATTACCATACTCTCGTCTAGATTTCTGACAGACTGAAAGATGTTTACAGAGTCTGCACCATCTTACAGCCACCACTTCCCAATCATAGGGCACGGACGTAGTTTTTGAGTATGACGCGAACACGGATTGCGTCATAAGAGGATAATAATGATATTACAGTATCCCTTTTTAGGTTATTTAATGCAGGGAGCTCCTAGTCATCTCTCAGTTTAGGCTAAGTATCACTCACCCCGCGTCACTCCATACTTCTTTGTGTCCATGGCGAGCGGGCGAGTGCTCCACATTAGCCAAGAAGCGCGGTCAGGCGGGCAGGCAGTGGACACGTGGGAAGGTCGAGCCACGCCAGATTTAGGGGGACCGCTAAATTTAACTAGATCCACTCATCATCCAACTGACCACGCAGGTGAAGGATAATTAACCTAAACCGAGGATACCTAGTCGCTCCCTTAATGTAATTTGACTTGTTCAAGTAAACAAGAGATGTACTTACCTCTCTGCGTCGCTAAAGAAAAATCCATCCTCATCTCAAGCGCCTTTTCCCACCAAAAATGAATGTGGCAAATCTCTGCGATCCGAACATCCGAACACAACTTAGTAATTCTTGGTGGAACACAACTTTCTAATTCTTGGTGGAACACAACTTTCCTCTATCTCTTGTGTCTTCAAATTAGTTTCAATATATATGTTCATACTAAACATGAATTTTGTGAAAGAAATTGTCGTGCCAACATTAACTCTACACATAACTGTCAATGCTGCCTCATCTAAAGTCGGTTGGCAGAATCCGGTCAGGACAAGAATGACTTGCATAGTAAGACCTCGTTCAATGTATTGAACTAGGACACCTTTCTCAAGATTGTCGGTTGTAGATTTAATCTCTCTCTCTCTCTCTCTCTCTCTCTCTCTGATCTCTAAACTCTCACCCGACCGTCAGTAAGTCATCCCACTTCTGACTCTAGTCTATTTTCGGACTCTATGAACCTGTCCATGAACATAAAAAATAACAACCCATGTTAGTCTATGTAGATTGCTATAGCGTGCGGTTGTGTTTTCAAATTGTGCAGTAACCCAACAGTGTTAAGGGCCCAGAGCAAGTATCTTGTAGTTGCTCCATGTCAATGTCAACACTCCCAAGCGAGTTGAGCATAAGTTTGCTCACCTCTTAAGAGCCACTCAGTAAATGAGAAGCTCTGTGACTCGTTTCCGACTGGTTGAGTCTTGATTTCTTCCACTGCTTCTTTAGTATTGGTAAAAGTCGTCATCTTTGTCTCCAACAGGCGTGCTCAAGTTTAACAGACGTTGGAAAGCATTTTCGTTGACAGTTATACTTCCCTGGAAGTCATCGTCACCTCTCACACCATACTTGCAAGGGCTTTGTGCCTTACGAGTGCGAGCACTAAGATGATCCACAGAAATTCTATTTTTTCTACTTATGTGTTGTTGCCCCTTGCATTTACTACCACCTAACCCACGATACACTCCCAGAAGGCCATTGTTATTGATACTATTTCGCATCGAATTTATCCATAGCTCCTCACTCTTTGCCCTCTCAGCCCGTTCATAATCAACGTTTGACCAGGTTGTATCAGAAAAAGCTCCACTTGTATGGACGGAAGGAATACTACGATTTGTATGTCGCTCAAAATCTTCCATAAGTGATCTGTCGGTTCTTGGCAAGTTGACTGACTGATAAGATGAATCCTGTGAAACATACCCACCAGCAGCAGTCACTCTTCGGAAGTCTTAGCTTGGCTGATGAGCACAAGCATCAAAAAATTTACAACAATCTACAGTATCCATGAAAGGCATACCGCAAGACATGCCTGGAAAGATAATCCAAGCTTCATCTTGGAAAATCAAACATTAGTAAAGAATAGAAACTCGGACACGCTTATGGGATACAATTTTCCCAAATTCGTATTCCAAATTCAGCTTTACATAGTGATAATCCATGATTATCTATGTAAAAGATAAGACCAACCCTGGACTTCCGGACTCAGAAAATCGGAAAGTTAAGGAGAAAAAAGGGTACTGGTTAGCATTTATCCATGTGTGTATATATAGATGTCTCTCTCTCTAAACACTCAATTAATCATATGTTACTTATTGTCGATGACAACAAGTCGCACATTTATAAACAAAGTAAATCCACGTTTTTCTAAGTAAAAATAAACCTTGTTATGTTCATGGACAGAGTAAAATTAGGCAGGTTCTGGCTCTTGTAAATTAGACACTGACACACCTTGTAGAAATTATCGATTTAGAGAAATCTCCTAGAAGCTAGTTGAATCTATTATGTAGTCTAGCTAGACTTTGAGCGGCAAAGATACTTCTATCATTTGATTTCTTCGTCGTTACAAGCTTACCTGGTAAAAATTTCCATCCTTAGCAAATAATTTTTCTAATCCCTTCAGCTGCTTCTCCAACGATGGATTACCCAGGTCTGCTTTGGCCAACCCGGAAGTCTTGCAATTGGACTCGGTAGAAGTCTTGCGAGGAGATTTGTTTCGCTTAGCTGAGGCACAGTAAGGTGGTATTGTAACAGTGGTTGCTATTTCTTCTTCATCAGCGAGTCCTAGCTTCGATCGCAACAAACTATTCTCCTTTTTTAGTCGCACAATCTCCAATTCGAGTTCTAAAACCACCTGCAATATGCAACTCCAAATGAAAAACAAATTTGAAATACATTTCGAAGATCCAAATCTGGTATATTTTCATGCACCTTTATATCTAACTAGACACGTACCTTATCTCTTGCGTCCATATTCACTGACGGGGCATTTATAATGTGTTTAGCACAAGTTCCATAATGTAATGTGCTCAAAGTTTCATCCAATGCAGATGACGATGGAGATACGCAGGCTATCATGAGGGCCAAACTATTCCCACCCAAGCTCTCCATCATCAACTTTGTCAGCAAACTTTCTCTGCAAAGCCAAAAGGCAAACTGAGATGCTTTTATTTTTAACATCAACTTACATGCTCTGAAGGTTACAAATCTCCATAATGATGAATCTGATACATCTATATAAGCATATGAGGTTTCAGTGAAAGATGGTAATTCAATGAAAAACCCAATTATCAAATAAACGGAAGTACAGTTTGCCAACCAATCACCTGTAGGGTACCATTCCATCGCCCCTTTTTCCTTCACTTAAAGCGGAAATGACCTTTGCCACCGCATAATAAAACAAATGGACAATTTCAGTCTCGAGGATTAGATTCTAACAAGTGTATCAAATATTATAGCCGAGACAAAACTTTCAATCATGATGAGCATATTGTTTTTTGTATCTCTCTAGAAGGTTATATTACGGTATCTACATCTATTCAGGAAAATTGAAACTTCACAAATGTAGTAGGAGGGATACGATACCTTTCCAAGAGTGAAAAGTGATCTATTTATATTGCCCGTCTCTCTAAGCATCTCACCGGAGCTCTTGCTTTTTTTTAGACGTTCACTTCCAGCAAGATCGACAAATAACATTCTTCCATATCTCGTGATTGGTGCACAATCCCCGATCCAAAAATTTGAATCTACATGGAGTGTCATGATACAGTGACTCCTACTACTGTCTTTATTCATTTCATGGGATCCAACCTGTAAGACCAGAAAAACGACGACATTTGTCATATCATATTTACAACATCGATACATATATTTAGAAGAAGGTGAAAACTTGAAATTCTAAGAACAGTGAATCCAAAAGATCATCTTACTTTTCGATTTCTGGAACCCTCCTCTAAGACAGCAAACACATCGTCCAAGGTTTCACAATCAACCAAAAGCAGATTGTCCACATAAAACCCGTCTTTTGAACTCCATTTGACATCTCTAGGTGGTGCATCCAGTCGTAGAAGATCATTCACCTTTTTGTCAGTCAGAGCACAAGAGAAATTGCTGGTGAATATTTTATTGACAAGGTGATGGCCTGGCTAGAGTCCTGAAATATTATGCATCACCAAATATACTTTGTTGGTTGGGCTGTTTGCAAACTGTTAGCGGCGAGGAGACTCTCAACCTGTTAGGTCTGATTTCACGTGCACCTCATAGTAAGCACTTCAAAACTTTGTTCATGATCTTACATTTCTCTTAGGATCTTGTGCGCATTGCGGTCTTTCACAGAAAGAAAGAAAGCGAAGATTTGAACGACTTTAATACCTGCTCATTATACACCTCATAATAGGAGGCCCTCATGGTATATATTTTTTCTTGATCTGAATTTGACGTGCGCTTATTAATAGATTCAAATAAATATGAGACAGACCGAGCGATTAAACCGTCTTCTTTGCGCTCCATTTTACCTAAATTGTTTCCTTTGTGAACACCCTGAAGTAACAGCCAACAAAATTAGATACTTAGATTTTGCTAAGTTGGAGGTGTATGTCAAGATATCTTCTAACTTCTAAGTACATGTTTTGATGATAGACAGGAATCAAATGCTGTACAAAACTCATGTAAATGATGAAATTTACCTCGTCTCTGCCTGACATGGTATAAGTTTTACCAGAACCTGTCTGCCCACAAGCCATTATCGTTGAAGAATACCCTTCAAGAACAGAGTCCAGCATTTTGACGACTTTCAGTCGCTCCATGACTTGGTCCTGATCAGCCGTGGGGCCTAGGCAGCCATCAAACTGCATTTATAGGTGTGTCATAATCGAAGTTGGAGTAAGTATGGTGGCAGAAAATTTGTGTTGAGATGAATGGATGTTCCAGTCGATCTTTTAGAAAATGGAAACTATTTTACAGTATGTGTCTCTCTGATCGTCTGTTTGGTTCAATAACTTCTATCACTAACTAATAGATTGTTCCAGACCTTTTTCTTGGATGAGAGAGAGAGTCATTTCACCTTGAACGTCCTCGTTGTAAGCTTGTATCCTCCTCCTTCCTCCACGACCTGCGGAAGAGCTAAAGAAGTTTAATTCTCTTCTTTTTCTCACCATCAATTCTAAGTCCGGACTTCGAAATTGGTTGTGATTAGTGAAAGATCAGATTCAGACCTGTGCTGTTTTTCCATCTTTCAGAGCAGTCACGGCACACTTATCGCCCGCAATTATTTCTTCCCTTGAGAGAGGGCGAATTCGAACGTAGACGTTTATGTTAGCTTCTTTCTCCTTGGACATAATAGATTCTGAGTAACAAAAAAATCACGTATCATAAGTATTACGCAAATTTTGTTTCTGTATCGGTAGACTTTATCAATATTGGAGTCACAACTTTGACACCACGACTCCTTCCGACAAATAGCAGTTTTGTATTACTTCAGAATTCAGCGGATCGAACAAACATGTTTACAATCTGGAGAAAATTCACGATTTGTGTCCACTAGAGTCATCGAATTTTAGGAACCAGTTCGCAGCAAAATTCGATGCATTTCATTTTAAAGGATCAATCGATTTGGACTCTTACCTTCCGGTGAAGCAGCCGCCATTTCGCGTTCAGTTGGCAAAGAATGATCAGTCGTGGACGGTTGAAGTGTGAATGTCTTTCTTATTGCGGTGAAGTTCTACAAACTGTCCCCTTAATTCTCGCAGTTCGCTGATTGCACCTGTTGCACAACGTAGCAAGACTCTAATTGCTCGTTGTGAGGCTTATCGACCTGTGTATGATACTGCAGAGCTTTCTCTGGACATTGAATTCATGGATATCCCATGATTTGCCATCACTGATGACATCCATCCGCGATGACAAGTCATGCAAGAGACGAAAGAGACGCGAGTCAAAAGAAGAGAACATCTTCGTGGCATGACCCGAAGGTCCACCTATAAGATATCAACCGGAACGAGAGCACCAGATGTGATCTGAATACAGGACATGAATCTAATTTAGAGTTGGAATTGTATAACCCAGCGTCTGCTCTTTCCGGCCCAACAGTTCAGCGGATAGCACGGTCTTCAGTAGAATGGAGAAAATAGTGGGCAGAGAGACGATGAGAGGCATGAGGAATGCCTGATACACTTCTGAGACAAGTGAGAATTTAGCTTCGAAGGTTGATCCGAAGGGGATGAAGTTCGGTCTTTGAATCTGTTACAGATCAAAGGCACGGAAAGACTACGTGGAGAATCAAGACAAATAGATTTCTACATCAGACTGAATATGGGATGGTGGGAAAGGTATTTGGTCAAGAAATGATAACCCGGAGTCCGCTATCTGCTGAAAGCTCATCGCATCTTGAACGTAACGAAATTGTCGTTGCCAGCGGCTTCACGGTGCTTATTACAGGATTTGGCGTTTGGCTCCGAAGCTTCCGTGTGAACGTACGTACATTACTGAAACATATGCGTCTCACGCTATCAAAACTGCCACTGAGTTTATGAGTACAAAAGCAAAAGCAAGTTAGCGGTATGAAAGGGATCAACGTTTGAATCCAGCCAAACTACAAGCTAGCAGATGTGGTCAGTATGAATAGGCGGTCAAGATTCCATTATAAGAGGAAAAGTTCGTGAGACGTCAAGTCGCGTACTTTATCGATGCGCTTTTATCTTGATAATCTATGCTGCTATCTACTCATGGTAGATAGCAGCAGAGATTTTAGATTTGCTCAATTTTGCATCACAAGAATGATGAAACGCCAGAAATTTAAATTCGGAAGAAACGAAACGTCGTTTGCTCCAAATTTCCCTGAGGACAATGAACAGCAGCAATTGCAGTTCTTGAGCTCGAAGCATGTAGTTCGAACTAGCGTCGTCAACCGATATACCGCCTGATATTAGAAGCAACGTCAGCCTATGGAAAGCATTGGCATCAGCGGTTGTTTCAAAATTCGAATCACGTCCTCAGAACTATCAAAGCTAAGGAATGCCATTCGAATTAGAACTACGGATGCCACAAAGCAACTCCCACATCGGTCTTCTAATTTAGGCTCAACTTTCGTTCACCGCATTGTCCACCGGCAACTCGAGGAAGTTCCCGGACGTAATGATGCATGACGTTCATCGTAAATGCGCATACGGCTTGAAATCTTTGAAAGAGGACGTAAAATTCTGCCGGACACAATTTCAATGTTACTCTAATAGTGGTCACAAATCTCACAAGGAGCCCACAGGTCACAAATGGCCTTCCCATTCCCACCGACAGCGTATTGCGGTCAAATGTCTGGAAGACAGACATCCAGTAGTGACAAGAACCACGGACTACACTTTCATGTCATTAAATCAAAAGAACTCATTTACAATCGCTAAACTCCAGAGGATGATGAGAATTGTGTTCCTCTACTGTTGATCGAATAACTTGTGTTTGTGTTTGTTGTATAATACGTGTCCCGGACTCTGGATGGTTCCAATTTTTGAACAGAAGGCACTCTGGATCCTATGATTGAAGCAGAGAAACCAATCATGGCTCCACCGATAACTGAAGCATTCGGCTTGTTCGACATCAGCTTTAGAAAAGCTAATATATCACCACCTATGTCAGTCTATTACTCAAGCCAAGGTGGAGATGTAGAGCACTACTACCGAGGCAGAAAAACACCGCGAGTGTATACAGAACACACCGTGAGTGTCGGGCACTTCACGAAAGTCTTGTTGCAGAAGCCTGCGGTGCTATACATTCTTCGGTACATGGTATTCTAGTGTTTACGACTTCTCACCATTTTTCAGCACCAAGTCCATCATGTGCAGTTGAATGACGATAAAATCCCACATGGAAATCTACTGGTAGTTCGTTTGATCCCGGTTTAAGGGAGAGTGGACTCTGAAAATAGTTTCAGATCTTCTTCTTCTTATTGCAGTTTGGGGACGAGATTGTTTTTAGTGAAAGAGCCATCCTCTAAAACCGGCAAGTGCCTCCGCCTTTTCAGGCTTTATTACCCGAACTATTTTAGCAGTTTGGGGATTAATCACGTGTTCCTCACACCGATATGTGAATCCGTGTCCTGACTTCAAGAAGTCCATTTGCTGTTCATCAACATTTATGTAGCCAAGGTATTCATTCCATCACGAGTTTCGAATATAAATACCGCGTCACCGGCAAACACAAACATTAGATCGACTGGATGGGATTTTGGTCTTTCCTGTCCTCAAATGTGACGAAGCAAATGTTCCCCGGAAGCAAACAACTAGGGTGTGGATTCTTACATGAGAGGCAGGGTGTACCCAAATGGCACTGTCTAGGAGCCAATGCATTTCTACGTAGTGTTACCAGAAGGAGTACATTTCGACACGAATCTCTTTCCTCTTTCAGACCTGGAGTTTTCAGCGAATTTCAAACTTTCTTGATGGAGACCTTTTTGTCGCTCATGAAGGCTCCATTCAAAAGAATAATAATCTTCTTCTGTTTCACCTTCGGAAGGTCCACAAAATATACCTCCCCATTGGGGGAAGTAGCAACACACAATTGGTAATGTACAGATTACAGTCATGAATCCCATAAGCGTAAGCCCTCTCTCCGTGGAATAGCTAGAGCTCATGAAGAACAGATGCTGCGTCACCATAGATCCTACGTTGCCGCCGGCTCCAGTGGCGCCAGAAATCATGCCCAGAGATCGTCGGGAAACAAAAGGGACAATTCCAAATGTACACCCGCAAGCAGCTTGAACGAAGAATGAGAACAGCAGCATGACAGCTATGGATGGTCCTAGTTGACTGGTGAGCCCAAGGATGCTGCAAAATATACCGCCTGCACTTTGGACTGTCCATAATATGAAGAGCCTTCCTCTCATCCCATACCTGTAACCCATCATATCGGAAAGGATGCCTCCAAGAGGACGGGAAAAAGTATTCATCAGACCAAAGGCGGATGCGATGATACCCGCGATGTGAAGGTCAAGGTCGAAGCGGTCGTAAAAATATTCTGCTAAGATGTTGTCGACTGTCAGCTCCACACCGAAGCAGTAACCATAAGAAATTGCGAATATGTATGTACGGTAGTTCGACATCGCTTGGAATAATATCTGGAGACAGGCAGAACCCCGGCATAGATAAAGAGATTGTAAAAAGTTCGTCTCTTTCAGCTTGATTACAATCTTATTGTTGTGAGGGAAGGTAAGTTCAGAGTCAGGATGATGATTTCATAGTTAAAACTCTCGTTAAGAACTGTTTACTCTTTGAACTATGTTGTAAGAACTCGTTCGACAGATCATGTGTATCAAAATTGGGGCAAACAGGACGTTCTCTAGGTTCCCAGAACGTCATGGTCGCTGCAAATCAACATATGACAAATAACGCGCTTCATGAGAGATCTTGAGAACTCGACGAACTCGTCTGTACTATGACCTGCAGGATACACATTAAGACCTTACCAAGCTGACTTTGATGTGAAGTGAAGACATTACCTTTCGGAAACTATCGTTGACTTTCTTCCCCGATCTTTTGAGATCTGCGTAGTTTCCATCGGGGTAATCCTGGCCAAGAATCAGGACAAGGAGCCCCATCACAGTCTGCATGACTCCAGGCACGAAGAATGACAGACGCCATGCTACGAAGTTTTCAGCTCCGAATCTGAGGCGAATAAGATTATATATTAAGGGCATGACAAGTTGTGTCACCCCTCCTCCCAAGTTTCCCCAACCAGCGGCTGTTCCATTAGCTAGACCAACGATCTTGCTGCTGAACATTGAACTCATCCAGAACTGGCAGCTCACAAAAGTAGCCAAAGCGAAACCTATGCCGAAGCGTACTAGACTAAACCCTGCCGGAGTGGTCACTAGAGGCATGACAAACACCGCAGGGGCAGTTAACATCATAAGAATTGCACTACCGTGCCTAGGACCAGCCAGATCACATATCGTTCCCATGACAAGACGAGACACGATGGATCCGGAAACAGATGCAATTCCCGCATTTGCTATGTCTTGCTTTGTCAGGTCCAGGTTATCACGGATGACAGGCATGAGGGGTGGCGCAGCAAATGTCGAGAAGAAACAGGTCATCAATGAAATCCATGACAAATGAAAGGCTCGCATGTGGGGTGCTGCCACCAACTGCAGCTTTATTCTTGTCGCCTTGTGCTCGGAGTCGACTGGGAGTGCAAAATTTTGAACATGCACTTCTGTGGGTTCTAGCGAATCGCAGTTTCCTTCAATTAGCACTGACAACCGGGCTTCGTGTCTACAATCATCTCCTCCCGACAAAAACGTGCTGTGCTGTGACAGAGGTGTCTCAGAATCTACAAAATCCAACCCTTGAATGATTGTCAGTTTGGCTGTGCGCTTCTCAACCAGTGAACTGATAATCCAGACAACTGCTAGAGCCTCTCGTGAAGAACATGAAAAAATCAACGATGGATGAAGACATCTTGGAAGCTGTTACCGCAACTTCCCTTGAACAAGCTGTCTTGGATTCAAACTGTCGAAAAGAGGTTGAACATCTTCGTACCTGGAACATGTCCTACTAAGGACTGGATTTCTCCTCTGCCAACGCTTCGTCCATAATTTCCAGAAAGCCTCTCCAAAAGAGACATTAGCTCGGCCAATTACCCAACTGGAACGGCTTTGAAAAAAATAAGAATAGTGAGCACACTCTCAAAGTTTAGCGAGAGGTATGGTTTCCGATCAACCCCGAGCTGCAACAACAGAGGATCATAACACAGTCGGCAGCCTTCGAACTTGGAGCTGCAAGATCACTGGAAGGTGGGTGGTAGCCTGAAGTGGTGCTGCAATCTCCTTCCAGACCATTTTTCCGCCCGTGCAACTGTCTCTAACGTGTACAGAACGGTTCGCTTTTCCTCAGTCTGTCCAACTCAAAGTATTATACTGTAATTTAATGCATCTTCCACTGTCATTAATGTCAGACCTTTCCCATATTTCTTGGACGAACTTCTGCTCTGAACGTCCCGGACCTCAGAAGACTCCGATTCTGTGCAAAGTAGCTGGATTGTTTGAGATTTTCTAGGAGCTCCAATCGCTCATTGATTGCGTACGTCATGTTTTGGCTTTATGCTAGCACCGCGATAAATTGCTAATTACAATTCCCGTTATACAGAGTACTGCTGTTTTGTGGCCGATCAAGAAACTGTCACACGTCAGGGCCCTGGCCTGATGCCAAGTAGGCTAGCCTGAAGGGTTTACACACAACTCACGTTTCATCCACCGGACCTTTCGGTTTATTCGGTGACATGACGAACATGGATAGTGTGCCGCTAAATTTCACAAAAGGCGCGGCTGCAGCTATTTAACTGGAGAAAATTAGAGTAAGAGGCAGGAAATGTCCAATAACCGGAGTATGCTAAAGAAGAACCTATAGGAAACCATATGGGGGGAAGGTGGACGAAGCTTGCTTTACGTCAGTTGTGTTCTAGCCCAATAATCAAACAGAAAAGCTAGAACTCCACCCTATGCTATAAGTTTTGCTTTCCAACCCATCACCTTCTTCCACCACTACGGGCATATCATAGACCCATTCTGAGCACTTTCTTGTGACATGATGGAAAATATGAAAATCAGTACAAATAAATATATCTATGTGGATATGTGGATAGTACATCTATCGCAATTTTTGCAAAGTTGGACATTATTGGTAATTTTGTCATCTTTTTTATTTGTGACTACATACAAGATCATCTTCAATTTTTATGCAGATGTGGGATGATATCCTTTACCGTTACCCTTCTGTCCAAAGAATAATACTTTAGTACTGGAGTAGAGTTATAAACTTCAAGAAATAGTTCATTGATTGGAATAGATCTTTCAATTTACTTTGATGTTCTGGCAATATAACTCATGTTTCATAATATCATAGTCTACTTCACTTTTACTTTCAGTTTACTTTTGTTGGAGCAAGAGTATATACATACTCTTGCTGCAACAAGTATAACATGTTGCTCCAACTTGTTGGAGCAACATGTTCATGTTCTTAGCTCAATCAAACATTATGACTGTGCATTGTAGTTATAAACTTGAAGCCGTTACAATTTTACATAATGGCTTGACATCCGTGTACAATTTCATTTCTCGAATGAAAAAGTGAGATTTTGCTTCAAATGGAATAATCGTCTACACCATTCATTGTCCATTCACAGAAAATGGATTAGCTACACATGAGAAAATTAGTTATATGCTTTTGGCAATGACGCCTGATATTAAGGTTATAATCCCTCAAAATCGATTAAGATTAGAGCAGATCAGGTTGCTGTTAAAAGCATGATAGTCATCCAAATACAATCGGAAATTGTAAGAGGGGACGATAAATCGTTTTCTTATAGGGGGCGAATGGATTCAATAAATCATACTAGAAGCAAATGTTGTTAAGTATATGGAATTATTAAAAGTTCATCACCTTACTATACTAGCATTTAGTTATACATGAAACTATGGACTCCGAATTAAACATGTTTGTTTGTCAATGAGAATAAAACCTTTCTCGTAGGCAATATGAAGTTTATTTTCTCGCCAAAGAACAGTACTTAATGCCATGCAGATAAGTTAGGTAATTATTCATTGAATTTTACCGGTTAAAACTAATCAGCTCTGTTGAGCATATTTTCCCTGTATACTGGCCCCTGGTGACCAGTTTCCTTCCGTCCTTGTACGTTGTGATCCCTTTTCTATCTACTCCCCGAAAATGACGAAAGAAGTTTATGTACGTCTTTCTACGCCCTGAGGCTTGCCAGCTGAGGCAAGCCACATCAGCTAGCACGTTGCAGTTTTGGTCATCTCCACGTGGCTTGCTCGGTTTGACACAGAGCGCATGAGAGGCGAGAGTCGATTATGAGTTTCTCCTTAGAAGAGCTTCAGGAGTAGTTGTCACGCTCCTTTTGAGGATACGGAGAGAAAAAGTACCTCGCATCGTCCTCCGAGGTTTTGTGCAATCGTTTATAAGGAAGGCAAAAGGAGTATTTAGTAACCCTTGTGATGTTACAAAAGCTGCATAGAAGAAAATAAAAATAGAAAGACTTCGTCATGGAGAATTAGGCTCATCAGATATAATGTTGTGTGAAATAATTGTAATAAGTGACTAAAATCTTACGGTCGGATACCCACACTGGCCGAATTGCCATGTTAAACACGTATTGCCATGTCAAACACTTTAGATTATTATATTGCCCAATTGATTCATAAAGATCTCATAGATAGATTGGAAGTCAAAGTACTAAAAGGTTTTACGAAATGTATGTTGCCATGGTGTAACATGCATCGTTGTCGATTCACATTAAATAGACTATCATCATGTTTATAACAAGAGAGTGTCACATGTATCTAAAACATTTTCACGGTGTTTCACAATTATCTTTGCTCATAATCGTATCACAAATAAGAGATTATGATGTATAGAGAGCTAATACTCACTGTAGGTTGAATTTCCAACAACAAAGAACATACACTCCGAGAGAAGTAACCCAAATGCTAATCCTTGAGCCTTCGGTCTCTAAACGGCGTTGTTGACCTTTAACCACAGTTTTAGCACAAATCATTTCTAACTACATGTATTTGCTTATGCATATGTATATCAATCTAAAGCTCACACTAAAGAAAGTGCTAAAGTTGTTATTCACACATATCTTATATCTCAAAATACACAATTTTCATATGTAACAAAACAAGCTCTTCTTTCATATGGATGAGTTATCAAGCTTATTTGACAAATAGCATGAATTTCGAAATATAATATTGCTTTCAAGTAAACAAATTTTTGGAGATTCATGTATGGTAAATAGATTAAGCCTTTGGGACACAAAAGGTCAAAAGGCTGAAAAACACAAGGTTATGGTATGAATGATATGGTTATGCAATATTTTTTATGCAAGAAGCTAAACTCTTTTCTTATGTAAAATATTATACATCAACACAAATGTATCAAGATCTTGGTCATTTCTTCACTAATACTTAATCTAATTCAACATTCATACATACAACAATCTAATTCTAAGTTGAAATAAAGTTCGATAGCATGATACGATACTCGTGAGGTTATGATCAAAATGATGATATGACCAGATGATACAATACCCAAACATAATCATGAAATTACTTATCTGAATCCATAGGATTTAATGATCAACATTGCTTGTCTATCAATTACATCAAGATCATCTACATCACCCATATATCATCACTTTTACAGCAAATGCGAAAAAAAAAGAAGGTCATCATTTCAAAAAGTGGTCACCAATAATTATGCATGTCTCTGCCTTTAATTCATTATGATAGATCTTAACCTTCCTCGTTTATCTGCAAGGCTCAAAGATATGAATCAGATTAGTTTGGAAGTTGATATGATGCTCACACCTGAATCACAAATCACATCTTCGCGATTCTACGCATCAACACCTTGAAAGTTAATTCAAAAATTTTAGTGAAAAAATACTATCCAAAATAATATTCAATATGATTGATGCATATTTGGTACAAGTATAAAGAATCATGATACATTTTTATCTAAGAAGCGTATACATTTTATAGCAGAATAACATCACACTGGATCTTCATGATGAATAGTATTTAGAAAAAAATGAAAAAAAATTATAGAAAAAATTGAATTATCTAAAAACTTATATTACCTTAAATGGGAAATGATTAGAATCAGAATTTCAGTTGACTTCAGAACGAAATGTGACTAAAGCAACGCGGTCCATGACAGGACTTTAGTAGGTTGATTTGAGTCAAATGTCAAAGTCAAAGCAGCTACTGTTAAACTTCAAACAAGGTCTCAGAAGTCTCTTCACACGAGGAGGATAAGGAATTGAGTTTGACTCCTTCTATGTCTTCATCTTCTACTATGTATTTCGGAAGAACGGGCATACCATCCTAATGTTTCAAAATTTGAAGTGAGGCTTATTTGAGACACTTTATGTTCGTCACTAAGGGACATGAATCAATTCATCGTGTGAGTATGCACTTGACTGTACGATCAATTCATGTGGCTTCCATCTCAACATGTCCTGATGATAGATTGCAGTCCGGTTGTGTTCCATTACAACACTTCATGAAGCAAAAATTCAGGACAATTAGCCAGATTAGAACTATTATGGCTCAATTCATGGATAGAACTGAATACATTTGTTAATCGAAGATGTTGTATAGGATTTGATGACAGCAACATCAAGGCTTACTACTCGAACAGACTTATGTTTCTGGTTGTGCAGCTACACGCGATCTGCTATTCAATAAGCTGCAGAGCACTCTCAAGTAACGATCTGGGATCCAAAGTAGCGGTCGTCAAGTCGTGCTACTCGTGACTACTGGACGTGATCGACCAAGACAGGGAACAACTCCAGAGAAAACGCAGACGAGTAACAGGAAATTAATTGACGCAGTTCACATGGCTTCTCATTCAAGCGTATGACTGGCATGGAACTAAACACGCATTAAGGAAAAACTGGCACTTCAATGCTGCCGAGTCCGGAGCTAGTCGCTCTTTCAGGATGGGGTTTGAAAGCCCATAATCCCCTCATCATCAAAGATCTCATGTATATCATCGTGATACTAGACCGAGGTTGGGTACAAACTTCACTAGCACACCAAGCCTTCATACCATGACATAATCGGCGTAATTTCATTGCTGTTCCATGCTAAACGTGATATTCCACACGTCCAAGGAATTCTGCCAACGATCCGGAGCAGAGTCTTCCTCCTACGTAGATTTGCAGGAGGTTACTACATCCCTCTCAACTCTTATGAATCCTCTGGAAGACAGCAAATGAAGAAAACAATAGTGTGTGGGCACCAGTGTGGGCCGTGAACCAAACCTCTAAGCAGTACAGAGTTGGGCCACAAACAAATATGATGGATAATTTAAAGAGGCAAGTATTCAACTCCAGACACTAGTTATTACAGTTTTCTGCCTGTCCTGCAGTCTGACCAACGTCTGCTTGAACCTGAGTACAAGATGAAAGCGAGCCCTGGTCTCGAATCTTAGTGGAATGTGCATGAGCTCACTGTGAAGTGTGGATGGAGACGATTCTCAGGAGTGAAAGCACTATATACGAAGAACAATAGCCCATCCACAAATAGTGTCCTGGAGCATTGGAAGTGCATAAAAAATTCCTGCTCTATAGTTGCGATCTCCACTTCATCTCGTAGTCACATACAAACACGACTATAGTTACCATGTGAAGCGATATTCATGAGTATCATGGTCTCCATCTGGACAGCAAGCCTTGGGTCTCGACTAAGTAATGGCTTCCTCGTTCAGCACGCAAGCAAGAGAAAACTTTCGAACTTGGCACAGACCCATCGTGCACTGACAGAGAAGTCAAGATTCTCAATGTCCAGTCACGTTTGTCTGCAACAAATCATCTTGTAAGGAAGGGACAACCAGCTTCTCACTGCATGTAATCAAAAGTTCAAACAGGCCCTTCCAAGACTCAGATCAATAACCTGCTCCCACTCACAACCCGTGTCTTCGACGCAGTGAAATCTTCATGTAAGTGGAAGGATCTTCAAGTACGAGAAACAACGCGAAACCCTCATGTATGAACAACAGTCCGAAATTAACAGGAAGAAACTCCACACACTTGGCGGGCCTGGACATGTGAATCGTACCATCGGAAAGCTTGCGTCAGTTTTACTTCCATCCTTGAACGAACAATTGTAACGTGGACGGAGCTGCGGGAGAAAGGAGTCGGTATCATGACTCATGAGGACTTCGTGATCGCAGAAATGAGAAAGTCCATCCATAAACTAACGGAGCAAGTTGCTAACTGAATCCCGCCTTTCGACTTAGCGAGCACTGAGAAAGTGACATGCAAACACGTGGCATCCTCGGTGGCAGTGACATACATGTTCATTGGCTAAATTTGCCAGGCTGGCAAATTCGTGCACACTTCAGAGCAGTGGGGCATCGACCGACGTACAGAAGACAGGGGAAGGAAGAGCCATCGAGCGCCATCAACTGTCTTGCCTTCTATTTTCTTCTCTCCGCAGCGGACTCGCTGATTCCCGTCTTTTCCAACAAATAATCGTGAGATTACGAGGACGCGCTTGTCTCAGAAGAACGGGATGGGATTAGCCGGATGAATTCGGTCGAGGAGATTCTGGAGGAGTAGAAGGTGAAGTATGCGGGCAGCTGTAGTTTAGTGCAACTCTCTACGAATGAATGTTGTGAAGGACGTGAAGAGGGTCTCCGAGGGAATTTTCGTGGGCAGTTTCGGTAGGGTTTGTTCATAAGGATTTTATTTACCGAATTGCTTGAAAGAGAAGATCGCCAATCCATCAGCTCTTGGCAGTTCATTGATTTGTTCATTTTGCCCAAAGTTCTTGTACTCTGGTCTGATATCTCTGAAAGGAGTGGGTGCCTTCAGAGGTCAGCGGAGATGTACGAATCAAACTCAAAGCAGCAGTACAGTCGTGCACTGTTTGTCTGTACGAGAAGAATCTGTACTTTACATTAGCATCTATAAACATTCCCCGTTGGTCCGCTGCATGAATCCTTTTAAGGCTCCTACTATATCTGGAGAAATGCCATCGTCTGTTAGTAGTCCAAGGGCTGAGTCTGCTGTTTTGTTGAGGCCAAGACTAGATGCTCCGCCTGCAGTCTACTCAAAAGCTTATAAATTCAATATCGTCCGTCTTCGGAAACCCATGGGAATCTCTTTCAACCGAAATCAGTCTCCAGTTTGACGTCTGAACCAAATTTACTGTCCTCAAGGTGGTCTCAGTTGCTCGGATTAGACAGTTGTGAAGAGACATGCAGTCTACTCGGTATCCCCGGCAAGGCCATGTCTCTGCGGTAAGTATTCTTCCCATCCTCCCCCCTCCCTCCTCCACTCGGTAGTACATCGTTTTCTTTTTGTGAAATCTTCTATAAGTATGTCCGGAAGAATGGAGAATTTTCTGCTCTGCTCCCATACGTTGCTCAAGGCAGTCGTTTTTCTTTCGTTTGCTTTGGTATATTTGACAGAGGCCTTTGAAGGATATTAAGCTGATAAACAAGTACGAAAATGTAAAATCCACGATAGACAGGTGCGCATGAGACCGCTTTAAGCATTATAATCTCACATACCATATGGAACCTCGTTCTCGTTGCAAGATTTTCATGCTTTGATTGGACCGTTTAAGTCTCCACTGTGGATTCGGATACGATATCAGCTAGAAGAAAGTTGTAAATGTTTTGGTTGGCACGAAGTATTCATGGGCGGCCAATGAGACAATAAGTTACAGTTGAAAGTTCACATGCCTCGACGAACGTTTACACCCTCACACTATGCCTTTCTCACATTCTGAATATGCCTGTTGGTACAGCGGGCTAAACATGCTGAAAGTTACGGACAAGTTTGCTAGCACGAAAGTCAGTATCCTTCTTATATTGCTTGAAACATTTCAGTTTACAGCTCTACCTTCCCTAAAAGGTGAAATCGCAATTTCCAGTATGCTAACACAGACTTGTACTACTTTGACTAATGTTAGCACGCCAACATTCTTGTTGTTCCCTGAGTGGTTAAGATGCTCGTTTCAAGAAGGAAGAATTTTTCAGGCGCTTGAAACCTGTTCTGTTGGTCAAGCTTCTTCACGAGGTACTAAGGATAATCTTAAGCTGTATGCAGACCTTCATATTCTCAAATGCGTTCTCGCTTATTGCTCAGTAGCTTGCCTTCAGTTTTTGGCCGTACCCTGCTTGAAGTTCAAGGCAGGAACATTCCATTAGGAGGTTGAGTTCTGCAGCTTGCTCAAACTTCATACGAGCGTCACTGTTATGCCTCTAGACCCAAATTCAAATACTTCTACTCGACGTAAGAGACGCGGACGAATTCCAAACATGCCATATCAGAGGCGGTAAGATCAAACTCCACTTACGTATGAGACAGCTTGTGACAATGTCCTGAACATCATATTGAGACGAAAATTATCTTGTACGGCGATATTCACTCAAAGCAAAACTTTTACTCGCCTACCCATAAGATACATGTTAACAAGTTGACTCAATGTTCTCATTAAATTTGTCGTAATGTTCACAAAACACGCTCATTACCTTGTTAGTGTTCATCGGCACTTCGTAGAATATATAGATTTCATACACGTCTGATCTGGGAGAAAGTAGCCCAACTGGATACTCATTCAACATCGTTCCTTTGCAGCTTTGTCTTACCCGGCAATCAATCTGAAGAAAACCATCAATTACTTTTCCGGTGATATACTTCCATTTGTGAGTGTCTATTTGTACTTCGAATCATAACTGTTAAAATTGGGGATTGCTTTTACTGTAGAGATCAAGCAGGAAGATGATATATCAGTAGTCTTGCGTGTGTTATTTTTCTTGTTTGTCTCCTGGTGTTATGACCTTTCCCCGACGAACTCACCCCGAAGTATTCACTCTGCATACAAATGGCGGAATTAGCGAGTGTTGGGCAGACGCCAAATAAGAAGAAGAAGAAGCACGTGAATTGAAAGTCACGCTTAATGAACGGTTCTCCAAGCACTGCAAAACAACACTGGAACGGATCATAGCTTAATATGTCACTTTTCTATGGCAGATCAACAAGGAGCCTGAGAAAATTATTGTTATATACGACGATGACGAACAATCAGTCGTGGTATGCATCCCGAGTTCAAAAGGACGATCTTTTTCTCATCTCCTTCTTTATTTGGTGCCTTCAGGAGCAATCTCTAAAGGCTCTCCGAAACTAGCGCAATTTCAGACATCTAATTTGACAGAAGTCGACGACAACCCTTGAACAATCCAAGTGCAAAAGTTTATTTACCTTTATGGACCGTTGACCGTCCAGTGTCAGTCATTTCAGTTGAAGTTTTAGCTGTCCCGGCGACTGCCATTTGAAGTTGTTATGCAGGCAGTAGCGCCTTGCGTTGCATGTCTCAAATTTGGCATCCTTCTGCTCATGCAGAGTGCTGGAAACCTTTTCATTGAAAAAGGTGTGGACAACATATTTGTTCTTCACGGAGGTACTTGGTCCGATCTTCCTTCAGAACACGGTGTCCCCAAACCAACCGCCTACGGATCTTCTTGTGTTGCTCAATTTACTTTTACCCTGCTGTCGAGTATTTTCCAGTTACTTGTGATTTGATTTGTGAGCAGGACTGGAAGAGGTAGCCAACAACTATCCTGAGATGATCGAAGGGCACTATAAGAAGCAGGAGATTTTAGTAGCTCTGAAGGAAAGGAATGGGATGAGAAGCTCAATAGGATCTAAATCAAGCTCTCCCAATTGGATTCAAAAAAACAAGATGTTCACCAACATGTCGACGCGTATTGGGAGGTCGAGGAGGAGCTCATCAACAGGGCAAGGAAGTCTACCAGCGACTCCGGGAAGTGTTATATCCCGTCTGAGTCGGCTATTCTCCCCCTGCAAAGGATGAAGGAAGCCCTCCAATGCCAGCGATTGAACGTGACAAATGCTGACGATTCATCGACCAACGTTGATATGTAGATAGTTGTAATCACCACTATGTTGATACCTCAGGCAATCCTGACGATCATATTTGAATGTCACTTATCAAGCATTCATAATTAGCAATAGGTGAGCATTCTAGCTACAAATAATGCTCACCACGATGAAAGCTAAGGATGGCTTTTAGCCAGCAAACAAGCAATTGATTTGCGGTTGCTAAGCACCACCCATTTGTCTAGTCAGAACATCAAGTATGGTGATGGCAAATTGCAAGGAGAACGCATCGTGCGTTTTTGTTCAACTTGTCAGTACTCTTGGTGTCGATCGGATTCACGTCTGGGAGGCTGCCGCTGCAGCTGCCGCACCTTAATTGTGCCACCTTAGGCTCAGGGTTCTCTGGAATAGGACTTGAGTTGAAGCAGTCCTCACTCAGGGTCGTGGAATAGTGATCCACGGTTGCCGCGGTCACCTGACGGCTGGAACGTTATTTGTGGTGAAGAGCAACTTGCATGAAGGAGGTCCATGTTGTAACATACAATCAACAAGAACCTTTCATCCATCCATCATATACGCCAATTTGCACAAGTTCTAGTGTTCACCAAACTGTATAAGCATCCGTCAATAAAATCGAGATGTGGTCACCGAAGCTGCTGGCTTTTTATTCTCTCTTTGCGGTGATGGATAACACCACGAATACAGCAGGAAGCAAACATAGTTTCTCAATCCAGCTTACTCAAACTTCGATATCGATTCTGCCTGTTCCGATTGTCGCAGGATTAGAAGGCGTTTAGATGATAGAGACTAGCTCTTTCCTATCAAATTAACTGTAAAGTCTGTACATGGACTTTAATAAACCTACAAACTGGAAATTCAGCTTACCATGATCTGCTCAAATCCTATTTAAGATACCAGTCAGCAGAGGAGTTTGCACTCATTGCCAAAGTCAATCACGGTTGTTTGGCATCATCACCTAACCCATTTAAGTAGTGAACTTGAACCTTCAACGCACAGTGCTGCATTAAGAAACCGCGGATGAGGAGTTCGTGAACCGTTCTGTATATAAATGCGAGAGTCAGTTCTTAATCGATAGGATTTAATGTGTGATTGGGTAACATTCTTATCTGTACGGCTGAAGCAACGAATCTCAATTTCCTTCTGAGCGTCATTATACAACGTAGCCTCTCGAAGTTGACTTTCTTGTCTCCACGACCTAGACTGCGAGGGCATTGCTGTACAGTCGAGTCACCTGACATCCGACCTTACTTCAACAGTGCTCAGATTAAAGACGTCCAGCGAAGGTGAATTTTGTTTTCGTCCATGTCATTTTTCTCTGTCATCACAACACCCACTGTACTGTTCATCAGAGAAGACATTTCGAAGGGCCTTACAATCAACATCTGGCAGGGTTTTCTTCGATGAGCCGATCTGGTGAATCTTGACGTTCATAAAAGGTGGATGACCCATCATGCCCACTTCACATCAAACCTTGAACATAGTCAAAGTTTTAACAAGAAGTAGAGCCCAAAACCACCGAGGAATATAACAAAAAGGATGGGAAGTCCCCATCAAGGAGTTCTAACAAGTAGAGAAATGTGTAGAATCTACTGTGATGCACGTTACCACTCCTCTCTCCCATAGAAGCATCCTTCTGAAACCTAGTGACCGGTAGTGCACAAAGGACTTATTCTAATGTCGGCTTTTGTATATTTCAATTGTTTTCTTCTGATCGACTTTCCAGGAAACGGGAAGTTACCGTTCCAGGCAAGGTGATATGTTCTCATGCGCAATTGAACTTGCGCAGTGTGGTGTAAGTGACCAACGACGTGAGTCAGGCCAGACTTTCCTGTTGATCGTGCAATTCCTATAGAACTGAATAACTTATGTCAATGTCAGATGTCAACTTAGCCGGGTCCATCGAGCTGATAATTGTCAAAAATTTGTGACAAAATATGTTGTACTCTATATACAAGAATAAAATTGTTTCTGTTTAGTCCCACTCTAACTCAGTGGTAGAGTAATGCCACGGTAATATGGAGTAAGTCATCGGCAGGACTCTCTAAATATGGAAATGTGTGTCATGGATTCCATATATTACGTGTGACATGAGGTTTCGTATTTCAAAAAATAAATATTTCTTTAATATTTCTTGAACTAAATTAAATCTAGAAAGTGATAAATTATCACATTCTAAGTCCACCACGCAATTTCAGGCTCTTGAATAGGTGTTTTGGCGGAGTTTGCAATATTCTTTAATTTCATTGCAAGTTTGGTCACGTTCTTCATTCTGAACTTTGATGGATTGCACTGAGTCCGCCTCAAAGGTGGAGCCTAGAAGATGCCCTTTCATCCGATACAACTAGTATAACATAGTCTCTATATTGCATTCAGTGATACTCAATACTCCAAGGTAATTTTTTGTTGTAATTTTTTATATGTTTCGGACTTGAATGATAATTACACGCGGCATCTTCACATCAACCACCAAATCATATAGGAGAATATCAAAAGTTAAAATGATATTTTTTGGGTTGAAATGGAAAATCATCTTTATAGATAAAAATAACACCAACATGCCTTGAAGTAGCGGCATCTTCACATCAACCACTCAATCATATAGGAGAATATCAAAAATTAAAATGACATTTTTTGGGTTGAAATGGAAAAGTATCTTTATAGATAAAAATAACACCAACATACCTTGAAGTAGCGGTCTTTACGAATAAAAATAACACAACATACCTTGAAGTAGCATCAAATTGACGCTAAATTCGGAAAATATTGGGAAAAAAATATGAGATTTCTACTAAATTCCATATATTGCTTTGATAAAAATCCTTATTGCGTAATCCTTACGTACGGAAGGTTCCTATAAAGAGAGGCCTGGTCTTCGGTCGGACTTGGACACGATCGCAGCCTCTACGCTCTATTCCTTTTGTGTCCGGGATCAAGACTTCAGCCCTTGTACTTCAATAAGCCGTACAAGGGCTTATTGAAGTGCCTTTCGAACCGTGCGAAATAGATGCCCATTACACAAGGGGAAGGCTGCGTTGAGAGTTCAGCGGAAACCATTCTTGGCATTAAAAAAATTAGAATTTTCTACGAGAGCGGTAGCGGTCATTAGCCCGAAGTATCCTTTGAGAGACTTTTTTTCACTCAAATCTAGAAAATATTTGTGACTGGCATCTTATAGTCTCACAACCTCTACATTGCCATGCTCCAGAAACCGGGTACACTCCCGATTTCATTAGCCATCAAGGGCACCTCCGAATTGTGCCCACCCCGAGACTCGAACAATAGTTAATCCTCGATTATAAGCCAGACGACTTTATGAAACCAGCATCTTGGTCGATTCAACGAATAGCTCGATCGAAGTAGCAAGAAGTCAGCTACATGGGGTAACTTTACAAGCTCGGATGGTAGAACTCGCCGGTTAATTGTTAAGTGCCGCTGCGATTTTGGTCCGGCCACAAACATATAACTTTGGAAGGGCCCTCAACCACCTCACTTACCTTAACTAACACAGCAGCATGTCTGAGGGCAGTTTGGAATCGACCAACAGTATAGGTTCCACGTCTCTATTACGCAAAATCTGATTCACATGTGCATTATATGGGGAGCTGGTGGGAATCACAGTATGTTGTGAGTGTGACACTGTCAAAGACTATATGAGTAAATACAAACAACCATTCCTCTTTAAGGTGGGAAGTGAACATACTTCAAATCCCTTTGAGGTTTTCGAAGTGGATAAATTGAGATTGCGACCCCCAGGACGTGATGTAGGAAGATGTGAAGAAGTCCAGTATATTGCAAACTGGCAACTTGACGTCCGTTGTGACGAGCACGTGAAGGAGTACAAGGCTTGCAGCGAAGCATCGATCGAGAGCTGGAAAAGCTTTGGAAGGTCAAAGAGCCATGGAATGACAGAATGGTAATGTTCTTCTATTACCTTCTTATGTCTACAGTTCATAGTTGTAGAAATGCTCGATGAAGAAGCCATAGACTGAAGTATGACATGAAGACCTGACCATTTCCATCCACACTTAGTTAAAACAATTCTGACATACCGATCAGCAATTTGTCCCTACTCGACCCCAGGATGTCTTTACCTTGACGTAAACTTGGGGTTCAACCTCGATCGAGGTAGTAGGTCTCGAACAATAGGGGTGAAACGGAAACCTTTTCCTCCTGTTTGAACTTGTCAACCTAAGTTTTGAACTCCGAAACCCCTCAGTAGTGAGTTCCAGACGCTAACACACGTAAGCATGATCGATTTCTGCCCAGCAATCTATGCCCATCCATAAGTAGATCATCTCGATCTGCTACGGCTTCACCGTCTTACACGTGAGGGCCTTCGTTTCATCTGTTGGGATTTGAAGAGTTTCCTAACTGTGGTTGGGGGAGTGAAGCCCAGGCTGTAAGTGGGTCCAAATTGACAACTCTCCAAAGGAGGTGAGCGAAAATAACTTTCACTTGCCCACAGCCTTCAACTTCCGTCATGAGCACAACTTGCTCAGAAGCCTTACTTCCGAACTACTTCATTTCCTGCATGCAACTGGAGCACGATAGATTTTCTCCTGACAAACCCGGGATTCGTTTTCCCTTTTCTGCTGTAGCACATAATATTCACCTCCCCACGCTCAGAAATATCTTTCAGATATTGCGAGTTGTTGATGATAACTCTTGTACACCACCACATCACTGTAAGTTTGAATCTTATTCTCTCCTTTTTACTTGTTGCAGAGCTGCATGTGTCTAATCAGACGAGTGGTTGTAACAGCATCACTTTCTAGACTTCGAAGAGGTGGAGGTGATAATAAGTGAAGCCAGCAAGACTCGCTACGGGGTAACCAAGTATTATAGACTCACCACCACATTAGTAAGATAGTCGACACATAAAGGAATCATCGTGCGGTATGGCAACAAAAGAACTAACGCCAAACCAACTTCAAGGTGATTTCTCTTCTTGTCCAGGAAGATTATTCACGTACGGTATTAACCACCATCCCCATGAGTAAATCCATCAATGGCATACTTGACCAGGTGAACATTGTTCGGAAACCCAAGCTACACACAACGTAAAATAAATTTCGATGTTTCAAAGTCTCTCCAGAGATACTAATAGTTTGTAATTCAGTGATTGAATTGGACGAATTCTTACACAAAGGAGTAAAGCACCCCCTATATGCTTCCAAAGAGACACAGTAGGCCTAGAAAACGGCCAGCGACAATCTCTAAAGGCATAGAAGACTTTGCTTTTTCATTGGGAACAAAGTGATAAACAACTAGCAAAATCGACTGCTGCCCTCACGAGCCAATCATTTGTGAAGATTCGGATGATGTGATGAGTCTTCCGTATACCACTGTATCCCAATTCAGCGGTAAAGTACAGTGACGTGATTCTCATTTTCTTAGACGATTCACGCGTTGCGATTTTTGATCGGATCTTTAGTCTCCTCTTATTTTTGTCAAAGGAGATAAAAGTAACAACAAAAAAGAAATTAACCAAGATAAAGGAGGAGAATACCTCCTCAATGTCTTCGTGGATGAAACGAGATAATTTACGTAGAGCAAGATTCAATATGAACTCGATAAAGAATGTATCTTGTATTTGAAACCACTTGTTATGCATGAATATAGTTTTGTTTCATAACCTCAGCATTTAACTGTAGATTATACTTCATGTCATA